CTTTCCTTCCACAGGTGGACAAGGACTGCTCCGGCTTCTACTCAACCCAGCAAAACCCACCGGCCGTCATCATCCAGTGCGAGGACGTGGAGCAAGAGGTAACGCCGTTGCCTTCCGGGTCTTCTCTTTGGCTCCATGGAAGGGTCACTGCTAGGGGTCAGCCAGGGCAGGGTCATGGTGGGAGCCCCACAAATCCCACCATTGGGGCCGGTCTAAGATGGTGCCTCCTCCTTTGGACTCATCTAATAATAGACCCCACACTGGATCATCCCATCAACTCTGTATTGACTTGATATTCATATTGAAAGCAAACCAAGGCAAACCTAACATCACACAGCTTTGTTGAATTATAAAAACTGCTTTGGAAATGCAATATGCAACAGTAGTGAAATGGCAGTTAATATTGATTAACCATGAAAATGAACAAAATCTGGCTACCAGTATTAAAAAACTCTAAAATTACAACAGCAAAACAACAGAGAGGAAACAATCAGGCACATCTAATCACCTTCAAAAAAGATTGCCCCAAGCACTGCCAGGCCATCAAATACTAATCAAGGTGATCAGTTGAAACATTCACACTTAGTTCCAACAGACAAGAGTTCTTTGACCCACCCTGGTCATTCCACAGATATATAAACCTTCTTTCCTAGTTCCAACAGACCTGAACATTAGGAAGAACTTCCTGACTGTGAGAGCCGTTCAGCAGTGGAACTCTCTGCCCCGGAGTGTGGTGGAGGCTCCTTCTTTGGAAGCTTTTAAGCAGAGGCTGGATGGCCATCTGTCAGGGGTGCTTTGAATGCAATATCCCTGCTTCTTGGCAGAATGGGGTTGGACTGGATGATGGCCCAGGAGGTCTCTTCCAACTCTTTGTTTCCATTACCTCTGAGGATGCTTGCCATAGATGCGGGTGAAATGTCAGGAGAGAATGCCTCTAGAACATGGCCATATAGCCCGAAAAAACTTACAACAACACAATATTTTAATTTCTATTTAGAGTGTCATCTCTCCGGTTCCTTTTGCTGGTTGCTTGAGGGCTCATCCACACTGCTATATAAAATCCAAATTTTCTACTTTGAACTGGATTGTTCGGCAGTGTAGACTCAGAACCAGGTTTAGGCTCAATCTAAAAATGGATATAATATCCAGATTATATGTTTTGAAGTGGATTATATAACTGTTCTTATGTTATTGTGGGCATCGAATTGTGTCATTTTGTAAACCATTTTGTAAACCACCATGAATCTGGGTTGTTGTAGGTTTTTTTGGGCTATATGGCCATGTTGTAGAGGCATTCTCTCCTGACGTTTTGCCTGCATCTATGGCAAGCATCCTCAGAGGATGCTTGCCATAGATGCAGGTGAAACATCTAGGAGAGAATGCCTCTAGAACAGTGTTTCTCAACCTGGGGGTCAGGACCCCTGGAGGGGTCGTGAGGGGGTGTCAGAGGGGTCGCCAAAGACCATCAGAAAACACAGTATTTTCAGTTGGTCATGGGGTTTCTGTGTGGGAAGTTTGGCGCAATTATATCATTGGTGGGTTCAGAATGCTCTTTGATTGTAGGTGAACTATAAATCCCAGTAACTACAACTTCCAGATGTCAAGGTCTATTTCCCCAAACACCACCAGTGTCACATTTGGGCATATTGAGTATTTGCCAAGTTTGGTCCAGATCCATCATTGCCTGATCCACAGTGATCTCTGGATGGAGGTGAACTACAACTCCCAAACTCAAGGTCAATGTCCCACCATCCCTTCTAGTATTTTCTGGTCATGGGAGTTCTGTGTGCCAAGTTTGGTTCAATTCCATTCGTTGGTGGAGTTCAGAATGCTCTTTGATTGTAGGTGAACTATAAAACCCCGCAACTACAACTCCCAAATGACAAAATTATCCCCCCCCCAACCCCACCAGTATTCAAACTTGGGTGTCTTGAGTTTTTGTGTCAAATTTGGTCCAGTAGACAAAAATACATCAGATATTTACACTACAATTGATATCAGTAGCAAAATGACAGTGATGAAGTAGCAATTAAAATGATTTTATGGTTGGGGGTCACCACAACATGAGGAACGCTATTAAGGGGTTGTGGCAATAGGAAGGTTGAGAAACACTGTTCTAGAACATGGCCATATAGCCTACAACAACCCAGTGATTCTGGCCATGAAAGCCTTCGACAATAGCTCAAAAATCATTTGTGATCTTTTGAAAAGTATGCCTAGCGGTATCATTGGTTCCTACATGAATCAACATGTGAGTGGGGGTGGGGGGGGGGGGAGATGATGGGACCTGAGAGCCCGGTGAGCCTCTGAGTGACATGGTGTATTTTTGGCCATGTCATATTTCTCGAGCCATCCTGTCTAGTCTGGAAATGATGGCTTCTGTTCTAAGGAGGGAGTCACCTACTACCGAGACCTGTTTCCTTTGAGGATTGGCAGGGTTCCTTTTCTGCAAGGAAGTGTGTAGGTCCCCAGAAAAGTGTTCCTGTTGAAGTGGATTGTGTAGGTGTATTTGTAGGTGTATTTGTCAAGGACAATCCATTTTCCCACATTGACCCCTCTTTCTTGCTCCGGATTCAGCTGAGCCGCATCACTCGAGGCCGATGGGGACGGTTCTGGAGGGGAGCGAAGCGTTTCGTTAAGAAGCACGGCGTGAGCATCGCCTTGGCGGGACTGCGGTTTGTGGGCTGAGAGGATCCTGGACCGGACGAATGCTGACGTGATCGCCATCTCTCTTGGCTCTTCGCTCATGGCTAAAGTCAATGCAAGCTCAGATTTGGAAGTGCAGTTTTCCCCTTCTCCTGCGATTCCGCTTTCATTTCTTGTCTCGACATATGTGCCAAAAGGCTTTGGTGTGTTAATAAACTTCCTTGTCTTCCACCATGAATCTGTCCAAGGCTGATCGTCTTCATTTAAAGGTTTTGTTGTCAAGAGTCTCCAAATAAAATACAAAATCCTTAAAAAGATTACACTATGTTTTGGGTACTAACTACTACCTGGTGTCGCTCTGGTGTGATTAGGACCGCAGCCCACCTTTCTCTTTCTTCCCTTTCGTTCCCTCACACCTTTCCCCCTTTCTCCTTTCCTCCCTCTCACCCTTCTTTTTCCTTTCCTTTCCCTTCTTTTTCTCTTCCTTCCTTCCTCCTCTTTTCCTCCTTCTGTTATCACTTCTTCCTTCCCTTTCTTTTCTCTTCCCCTCTTTCTATGTTCTTTCCTTCCCTCCCATCTTGCTTTCCTTTTCTTCCTCCTCTCCTTTTTCTTTCCCCTCCCTTACTTCTCCCTCGTTTCTTTCCCTCCCTTCCTTCCTTTCACCCCTCATACACCTTCTCCATCTCTCTTTCCTTCCTTTCTTTCTCCTTCTTCTTTCCTTCCCTTCCCCTCTTCTCCTTCCTTCCTTCCTCTTCCTCCTTCCTTCTTCTTCCTTCCTTTTTCTTTCTTTCCTCTCCCTCCCTCCTTCTCCTTTCTTTCCCTTCTTCCTTCCTTCCTTCCTTCTTCTCTCCTTCTTCCTCCTTTTTCTTCTTCTCCTTCCTTCCCTTCCTTCTCTTCTCCCTTCTCCTTCCTTCCTTCCTTCTCCTTCCTTCCTTCCTTCCTTCCTTCCTTCCTTCCTTCCTTCCTTCCTTCCTCTTCCTTCCTTCCTTCCTTCCTTCCTTCCTTCCTTCCCTCTTCAGGAAATAAAACCCGACTGCTCATTGGAGGGAAGGATTTTAGAGGCAAAGATGAAATACTTTGGCCACATCATGAGAAGAAAGGATAGCTTAGAGAAGACAATGATGCTGAAGGAAAAAGGAAGAGGGGCCGACTAAGGGCAAGGTGGATGGATGGTCTCCTTGAAGAGACTGGCTTGACCTTGAAGGAGCTGGGGCTGGTGACAGACAACAGGGAGCTCTGGCATGGGCTGGTCCATGAGGTCACAAAGAGTCGGAAGCGACTGAATGAATAAACAACAAAAAATTCATACATGTGCATTCATTCTACACAGTGTAGACGCACTTCAAGTGTGTGGATCCTGATGGTAAACAGTCTGCAAGGTAGGAGTAGTGTTAACCCTCTTTTAACAAAAATGAATATGAATCTTGGATGGATTTATGGTACACAACCCTATTAATCTTTGTTTATTAATGTGGTATGGTTACACTCGAACCGCAAAGTCCTGAAGGCTCTGTCAAGTGACCAATCCCAGGATTCTGTAGGATCTGGAGGTGAGACATTTGAAGGGATTTTAAGAAGATTGCTCTAAAACTGGTGAGTTGGGCAAACTTGGGCCCTCCGGGTGTTTTGGACTGCAACTCCCACAATTCCTAACAGCCTACTGGCTGTTAGGAATTGTGGGAGTTGCAGTCCAAAACACCTGGAGGGCCCAAGTTTGCCCATGCCTGCTCTATAAGCTAATACACATTTTGAATCAAAACATTTGCAAGCAAAGGCATGGTTGACCGGAGGTTGCTCAGTGTGGGCAGAAGCAGAGCTGGACTTGGTGGGGGATGTTCCTGAATCCACTGACGTCCGGCGTGAGTTCGATTTGGGTGACTCCCGGAGGGTGCTTCAGGCGGAAACTCTGCAGGATGGTGGTGATGTAGAGGAAGAGCTGCATCCGGGCCAGTCCTTCACCCAAGCAATTCCTCTTTCCTGTCACAAAACAAAAGGACTGGTTACATTGGATCAAAGTAGGAACAGGTTGAGCATCCTTGGTCCTTTCGACCAGACGTGCCTAGGTTTGGGGATTATTTTTCTTTTACAATGTTGGAACACCCATATTTGCACACATGCACATAATGAGATATCATGGGGTGCATCTATACTTCAGAATTAATACAGTTGGACACCCCTTTAATTGCTACGACTCAATAACATGGAATCCTGAGGTTTGTAGCTTCAAAAGGCCTTTAGTCTGTCAAAGAGGGTTGGTGCCTCACCAAACTACAGATCCCAGGAACTCATAGCATTCAGCCATGACATTTAAAGTGGTGTCACACTACATTCATTCTACAGTGTAGATGCACTCGAAGAAGGTCAAATAAAGATGGGTTGTTGTAGGATTTTTCGAGCTATATGGCCATGTTCTAGAGGCATTCTCTCCTGTCGTTTCGCCTGCAACTTGTGTGAGGATGCTTGCCATAGATTAAGTCAACCAGAGAAATCAGCCATAGCAGAGCACCTGATGAACCAACCTGGACATAGCATATTATTTGAGAACACAGAAATGCTGGATCACTCCAACAACCACAATGTCAGACTACACAGAAAAGCCATTGAAATCCACAAGCATGTGGACAATCTCAACAGAAAGGAGGAAACCATGAAAATGAACAAAATCTGGCTACCAGTATTAAAAAACTCTGAAATTAGAACAGCACAACAACAGAGTAAACAAACAAGGACATCTAATCACCTCTCAACAAAAGATTGCCCCAGGCACTGCCAGGCAATCAAATGCTAATCAAGGTGGTCAGTTGAAACATTCACACCTAGCTCCAGCAGACAAGAGTCCTTTGTCCCACCCTGGTCATTCCACAGATATATAAACCCTTTCCTAGTTCCAACAGACCTCACTACCTCTGAGGATGCTTGCCATAGATGCAGGCGAAACGTCAGGAGAAAATGCCTCTAGAACATGGCCATATAGCCCCCAAAAAACCCACAAGAACCTAGTGATTCCAGCCATGATTCTTGCCATGAAAACCTTCGACAATACACCAAATAAAGATCTTCTGGATGGTGGAGTGCCTACATGGATTAGTGTTCAATAAACAATAGTTTGCAAAGCTATGGGGTAGAAAAGTAAAGACAGAAATTGCATCCTGGATGCAACACTCTTTTTGCAAGCCCCAAAGCTCCTTAGCACCCTATTTTGGGGGATCTGTATGCAATTTTGCAATTTTTTTGCTCTCAAATCCACCAAACCCCAATAAAAATAAAGCAATTGGGTTTGTTCTCGGACTGCTATTTATCTTTTCAATTGCAAATTGGCAGCAAATGGAACAAGAAGGATGGAATGTCGTGTAATGTAATGTTGTAAAATTACAACAGCAAAACAACAGAGAGGAAACAATCAGGGACAATGTTTTGTCAAAGGCTTTCATGGCTGGAATCATTGGTTGTTGTAGGTTTTTTCGGGCTATATGGCCATGGTCTAGAGGCATTCTCTCCTGATGTTTCGCCTGCATCTATGGCAAGCATCCTCAGAGGTAGTGAGGTCTGTTGGAACTAGGAAAAAGGGTTTATATATCTGTGGAAAGACCAGGGTGGGACAAAGGACTCTTGTCTGCTGGGGCTAGGTGTGAATGTTTCAACTGACCACCTTGATTAGCATTTGATAGCCTGGCAGTGCCTGGAGAAATCTTTTGTTGAGAGGTGATTAGATGTGCCCGTTAAAATGAACAAAATCTGGCTACCAGTATTAAAAAACTCTAAAATTAAAACAGCAAAAACAGCAGAGGGAAAACAATCAGGGACATCTAATCACCTCTCAACAAAAGATTGCCCCAGGCACTGCCAGGCCATCAAATTCTAATCAAGGTGGTCAGTTGAAACATTAACATCTAGCCACAACATTGTGCTGCACTTTCTATGCAGCACAATGCACTGGAGTGGATGTTGGGATGGAAAGTGCCCCCTGTCCCCAATCTAGGATTTCCCTAAAGATCTCCAAAGCCCAGACCTGCAGAGAAAGGCATGTCAGCTCCGTTCTTCTTGAATTCTCCTTTTTCGTCCAGAAAATGTCCCGGGTCAAACTGGTATGGATTTTTAAATTGCGTGGGGTCATGCAGTGCAGAGCTCAGGATGGGATATAGAGTCGCTCCCTGTCGGAAGAAAGCAGAGAAACGGACAAACGTACATCTATCAGTGCATCTACACCGCAGAATAAATGCAAATTGACTCAACTTAAACTGAGATGGTTCAATGCTACGGAATCATGGGCATTGTACTTTTGCAAGGTGTTTGTTTATAAAGCTACTGTCCTCCCAACCCTGTTCTACGCTTGTGAGACATGGACTGTCGACAGACGTCACATGCAACTCCTGGAATGATTCCATCAGTTTTCCTTCCGGAAAGATCCTGCAAATCTCTTGGGAAGACAGGCGGACAAACGTGCTGGATGAAGCAAAGACCACCAGCATGAAGCGATGGTCCTCCATCATCAACTCCGCTGGACTGGCCACGTTGTCCGAATGCCCGACCACTGTCTCAGTTGCTCTACTCCGAACTCAAGAACGGAAAAAAGAATGTTGGTGGACAGGAAAAGAGATTTAAAGATGGGCTCAAAGCCAACCTTAAAACTCTGGCATAGACACTGAGAACTGGGAAGCCCTGGCCCTTGAGTGCTCCAGCTGGAGGTCAGCTGTGACCAGCAGTGCTGCAGAATTTGAAGAGGCACAAATGGAGGTGAAAGAGAGAAACGTGCCAAGAGGAACGGCGTGAGAAGCCAACCCCAACCGAGACCAGCTTCCGTCTGGAAGTCACCTACGGACCCACCACCAGTACACCGATCTTGGAAAACAATCTTACTTGGACAACAAGGGATCGCCTAATTAAGTAAGTAACTTTTGCAAGGCCTTTGGGCTTCTCTGGCACCTCACCAGAGACAATACCCATGATTCCATAGCATTGAGCCCTGCTGGTGAAAGTGCTGTTGAATGACATTCATTCTACAGTGTGGATGCGCCTTATTGTGCCATTGGTTGAGTCTTAGAAGACAGATTTGGACGTTCCTTGGGTGTCATGGAATGGGAGCATCTCCTGGCCTCCAAGGACCACCACAGGTACCTTTGGGATGTTGAATCCTCCCAGCTCCATGTCCATCTTGGCGATGCGAGTGAAGCCCAAGGGGATGAGCGAAAGGAACCTCTGGGCTTCATGGAGGACAGCTTCAGTGTAGGGCATCCCAAGGCGGTCCTTCATGGCTGGTGGACGCTCCCGACCAATCACCTGGTCTATTTCCTCCTGGACCTTTGCTGGAAGGAGAGTCAAAGGCAGGTAACAAACCAAAACCAAGAAGGGAAGGAGCATCTCTTCTCCCTCCTTATCATTTACAACAATATAGGTTGAGCATCTCTTCTCCAAAATGATTGGAACCAGAGATGTTTTGGATTAGGTCCCAGAGGGTGGCATTGTTGTTGAGTGTCCAATAACAGGGACACAACCAGATGCTTCAATACCACCCTTCATTTTCCATTGGCCACAAGATAATTATACTGGGCAGGTGGGCCACAGTCCTGACTCAACGCTATAAACTCCTGGTATTTTTAGTTTGGTGAGGTAGAGAAAGCTCAAGACCACATATAACTGCAACTCCCAATATTCCACAACATTGAGCCAGGGCAGTTAAAGTGGTGTCATTCTACAATGTAGATGCAACCCAAGAGGAGACATTGGCTAGATGGAGGGCAAACCTTCCACGGTCGGATGTTCAAGGAGGATCATGAGAGTGTATCTCAGGCTGGTGCTGGTGGTCTCTGTTGCCGCAAAGAAGATGTCATAAACAGTCATCATGAGGTTGTCCCGGGTAAATTCCGTCTTGGGGTTGTTCTTTTCCTGGAAATGGAGAGAACAAAGCTGACACCATCCAACACAACATACGGGGTTGGCTGGAATGAATAGAAATGGGAAACATGGTTTTTGGGGACCATACCTTCCAGAACCCTCTTGCTGGAAATGCTGCAGATGTCATGATCAAAACAAACAATTCCATACTTTTAAACTTAGGGTTGCCAATTTGATGAAAAATGGAGAGGACCATTCTTATTCTAACCGCCACACCTCACCTGCTCCATTTTGAAGAGGAAGGAGTCTATGTAGTCCCTTGGGCCACTGCTGGGATCCAGGGTCTTCTCGTGGTTCCTTATCTTGTTGGCCACAAAGGCCTGGATATCGGCAAGATTAGTGAAGAAGGTTTGGTGAGGGCCAGGCAAGTAGTCCATGATCCTGGGGAAGATGTTGTAGAGCTGAAAGAAAGGAAGAAATAAAGGGAAGGGAAATCGTTTGTGGAGGACACCATGGTGAAGCTTTGCATGGTCCCTTGTCCCTCTTGTCCCTTTGGAAATGAAGAGGATCAAAATTATGAAGAGTTGATTCCATCTTCTCCTGAAGAAAGGGAAGAAAAGACATTGGTGGCGAGCACCATGGTGAAGCTTTGCATGGTCACCTTTGGAAATGGAGAAGACCAAATTCAGAAATAGCCTCTTTTGGCATCTCCCCAAGCTGATGTCACTTCACCAAAGAGCCACCGTGGACCTGAAGACACAGCTGATTTACTTAATTACATAATGCAGAGGATACCTCTGCATTGGAAGCTGGTCTGGCTTGCTTGTTCATATATTTGTTCTCATGAACTACAGGCGACTTTTCAAAGGCACTCAGCACTGAATCTTGTCGTGAGAACCTACCACAGAAGAGACCCAGCTCTCCAACCCATTGTTCATAACCCAACCAGTGCCCCTAATGCCCAACCACTATACCTTGCAGCACAAATCCACTTTTGGAAGCTTGGTCCCCCTACGTTCAGGGTGTCCCTCACCTGTCCTGCAATGGAGCTCTCAAGTCTTAAGCTCTCAATGAGCAAACGGACGATCCGGCAAAACTCTTGGTCTTGGTAGTCGAAGCGTTCTCCAAGGAGGATGTGGCTGATGATGTTGGCAGTTGCGCAGCTGAGGAGCATGGCAGGGTTGAAGGGCTGGCCTGTCAAAGCAGAGGAAAGGAAGGTTCTTCAAGGTCTTTGGGATCAGGGTATGCTTGGTGCATGCAAAGGGGGTCTGCATCTCTTGACTCCCAAATATTTGAGGGTGGTGGGCTATGATTTGGAAGGCCTACATGTTTGGCCAGTCACATATGGGAATCACGAGCTCCTTCCAATCTTGTTGGACTGCAACTCCCAGCACTCCTCTCCAGTGGAAGAGGAATGTTAAGGGAATGCTAAGTCTTTTCATTTAAGCATGTCTGGGGGGCTGGAGGGTTCCTACCTACTAGCACTGTCAGAAGTGTCATTTGGGGCTTCCCCAAGAATTCTTGTTGAACTTTGATACAAAGGGCAGCTGGTGCATAAGTTGATGCCCCATAGGAATATTATGAGACTGGGCCCTCAGACAAGTTCTACCCCAGTGTATGCCTCCAGTTGTCCACTGGACAAGAGAAAAGAGACTGCAATACTAACATTGAAGAGGATCCTGCCCCTTTAGCAGGTGTGTACGGGAGCGGGTTTCAGGCAATATTGCTTGCAATGCCTGTATATATGGGGAGACTCCGGTGGGTGCAATACCCCAAACCAAATATGTTGGAAGATGGATGTCCAAGGGTTATATATTTTTATATATAAGGTCAGCAAAGGAGAAAATTCACTCTCTGAAAAGCTTCCAGCAAAGTCACAAATGCAAGCTACTTCTCTGATACCATGGGATGTTTCAACGTGATGCCCATGAGGATGCCCAAATGTATCTACCTGGCTATGTGAGGTAAGCTTCTGCCATGGGTGTATCTAGAAATCTGAACATACAGAACTGTTGCCCCATACCCTTTGTATTCCTGAGCCCCTTCATCAGGTATTCAGCCTCCTCCTGGATCCGTTCCTCGATGCCTTTCTTCCCCATCCCAAAGTTCCTCAAAGTAGTGAGGGAGAAGCGACGGATCTGGAGCCAGCGCTCACCGTTGCCCATGAGAAGACCTGGAGAAGACAGTCGGAGGAGACCTCACAAGGGACATAAGACTTTTCTTGGTTATACTGCAGTCTAGTACTTGGGATGGAATGGAATGGAAAGGAGAAGTAAGGTAAGGTGGGATGTCATCAGCGTATAAAGTCACCCTACTCCAAGACTTCAATAAGACTGAGACTAGTAGCAGAGGTCAAGACTGAGACTGGTCACCCCTTGCTTCCTAAACCGGACAATACCTAGTCCTCTGTTGTTCTTATCTGCTGATGGGAAGCTTCCCCGGTCAAGGAGCTCGTCCCCACTATCCACCAAAATCTTCTTCACCATGTTGTAGCCATAGAGGACCACCACCTGGTCTGAGCCAAAATATACCGTGAAGACTGGACCATATTTTTCACTCATCTGCAAAATACAAAGTAGGAAGGAAAGTGTGAAAGAAGCAACATGGTAAGAGCTGTTCAACCATTATTTATTTATTTCTATCCCCATGGAATATTTCATATTGGAGTCTGGTGGAGCTTCCTTCTCTTCAAGTTTCTAAGCAGAGGCTGATGGGCATCTGTTGGGAGGGCTTTGGTGGTGCCTTGCTGCCTGGTGGAAAGAGGCTGCATTACATGGTCCCTGGAGGGTCTCTCCCAACTCTAGGATTCCATGAGTTTGTAGACCAGGTGCTTGTCTTTGTGAATGTCACCTGCATAGTCAAGATACTTGGATAGAACCAAGGTCTAGTAGTGGTTTGAACATTGGACTGGGACTCCAGGGTCTGAATTCCTGATTGGTCAGGCAAACAGTTGACCTTGAGCAAGCCACACTCTCTCAGCCCCAGAAGAAGGCAATGGTGAGATACCTCTTCTGAGAAAACCTTGCCCAGAAAACCCTGTGATCAGGATTTGAAGGCACACAACAACAGTCAATCATTAAAAGTGGGAGATCATGTCATGGCTGAAACAAAATGGAAAGGGTAAAAAATTAAACCGGTAGGGTAAAAAATTAAAACACCCTTTGATGCTGGTTGGATACATAAGGAACTTCTCTCTCTCCTTCTTCTTTGGCTGTATTCCTTTTGGATTAAAGGTTTTGGCTCTCATTCCCCAAACATCTTGGCCCAGCTTGTCTCCTCCCCAGACAAGTGCCTCTCAGTTCATTTTTTGCTTCCAAAACTCTGGAATGCGAAGTGTTTTTTTGGGTTTCTTTCCACTTTCTTCCAAGTCCTCTGTTGACCTCTTGAAATCTGCTAGAGTCCTGGGGCTTTGGGAGTGTTGCAAAATCCAAATTATTACACAATCGGAAGCTCTGTTCTGTCTTTACTCTTTGTTCCATGCCAGAGGAAGCAACTTGTGTGACTCTGCACTGCAGAACTAACGCAGACTGAGACCACTTTAAAAACTGGTGTGGCTCAATTCAACAGGACCCTGGGAGTTGGAGTCTGACAAGAACTTTAACCTTCTCTGATTAGCAGATTTACAAAAGCACAGGCTTTTGTGGACTACAGAGATAGTACAGACTTTGGGACTGTTAGTCTTGGAACAACAAGTCTAAGGATGGGTTGTTGTAGGTTTTTCCGGGCTATATGGCCATGTTCTAGAGGCATTTCTCCTGACGTTTCGCCTGCATCTATGGCAAGCATCCTCAGAGGTAGTGAGGTCTGTTGGAACTAGGAAAATGGGTTTATATATCTGTGGAATGACCAGGGTGGGACAAAGAACTCCTGTCTGCTGGAGCTAGGTGTGAATGTTTCAACTGACCACCTTGATTAGCATTTGATGGCCTGGCAGTGCCTGGGGCAATCTTTTGTTGAGAGGTGATTAGATGTCCTTGTTTGTTTCCTCTCTGTTGTTGTGCTGTTGTAATTTTAGAGGTTTTTTAATACTGGTAGTCAGATTTTGTTCATTTTCATGGTTTCCTCCTTTCTGTTGAAATTGTCCACATGCTTGTGTATTTCAAGGATGCATCTGCATTGTTGAAATAATGCAGTTTGGCACCACTTTACCTGCCTTAGCTCAATGCTGCGCAATCTTATGAGTTTAGCAGGGAATCCTAAAGACCCTGTGAAATACATCTACCAACGCTTTGATATCATTGAGCCTTGGCAGCTAAAGCAGTGCCAAACTGCATTAGTCCCACAGTGTGGATGCACCCTAAGTATGTCTATACTGATTTGGGGCAATTTGATATCATTTTAACTACCACACCTCCATCTTATGAATTCTAGGGATTTGAAGTAATATTTATTTATTTATTGTGTCATCAGCAACCATTGTATTACAATTCTGACAGAGCAAGACAAACACACAGATTAAGAAGAAAAAAAAACACACAGATTTCGCAAATTTGGTAGTTGGTTAAATGTCCTTTGACCAGTATCTGGCCCCTTGGAGTGCCTCTGGTGTTGCCGCAAGAAGGTCCTCCCTTGTGCATGTGGCAGGGCTCAGGTTGCATTGCAGCAGGTGGTCAGTGGTTTGCTCTTCTCCACACTCGCATGTCAGGATTCCACTTTGTAGCCCCATTTCTTAAGATTGGCTCTGCATCTCGTGGTGCCAGAGCGCAGTCTGTTCAGCGCCTTCCAAGTCGCCCAGTCTTCTGTGTGCCCAGGGGAGTCTCTCATTTGGTATCAGCCATTGATTGAGGTGCTGGGTTTGGGCTTGCCACTTTTGGACTCTCGCTTGCTGGGGTGTTCCAGCGAGTGTCTCTGTAGATCTAAGAAAACTATGTCTTGATTTAAGTCGTTGACGTGCTGGCTGATACCCAAACAGGGGATGAGCTGGAGATGTCTCTGCCTTGGTCCTTTCACTATTGGCTGCTACTTCCCGGCGGATGTCAGGTGGTGCAATACCAGCTAAGCAGTGTAATTTCTCAGTGGTGTAGGGCGCAGACACCCCGTGATAATGCGGCATGTCTCATTAAGAGCCACATCCACTGTTTTAGTGTGGTGAGATGTGTTCCACACTGGGCATGCATACTCAGCAGCAGAGTAGCATAGCACAAGGGCAGATGTCTTCACTGTGTCTGGTTGTGATCCCCAGGTTGTGCCAGTCAGCTTTTGTATGATATTATTTCTAGCATCCACTTTTTGCTTGATATTCAGGCAGTGCTTCTTGTAGGTCAGAGCACAGTCCAGAGTGACTCCCAGGTATTTGGGTGCACTGCACATAATGAGAAGACAGGAAAGCTTTTTTACAGTATTTTTATTTTTATGTTTCGCTCATCTGTTCTCTTCATTCAATATTTTGTTCAGTTTCAGAGTTTTAAAATGTTATATCAGATTTTTCAGGCAGTTTATTATTTTACTTTTTGGTACTTTCCCATCCTTTGTTTCTGATATCCTTAGGCCTTGCTCCATTTGACTACAAACTTAACATAATATTCTTTTTCCTCTTTCTTATCTGATTAAGGAAGAAGGAGGTCTCCTCAGTTCTACATCCACACAATCGGCATTTCCTGGAATCAGTGGGCCAATATCAGGTAAAATAATTAAAAGTCCACACAAACCTGTCTTCACTGTGTCTGGTTGTGATCCCCAGGTTGTGCCAGTCAGCTTTCGTTGATATTGTTTCTAGCGCGCACTTTTTGCTTGATGTTCAGGCAGTGCTTCTTGTAGGTCAGAGCACGGTCCAGAGTGACTCCCAGGTATTTGGGTGTGCTGCAATGCTCCAGTGGGATTCCTTCCCAGGTAATCCTCAGAGCTCGGGATGCTTGTCTGTTCTTAAGGTGAAAGGCACATGTCTGTGTTTTAGATGGATTAGGGATCAGTTGGTTTTCCCTGTAATAGGCAGTTAGAGCGCCTAGAGCTTCGGAGAGCTTCTGTTCAACCATCTCAAAGCTCCCTGCTTGAGCGTAATGGCACGATCATCAGCATAGATGAAACTCTCTGTCCCTTCTGGCAGTGGCTGGTCATTTGTGTAGATGTTGAACAGGATGGAGCAAGCACGCTCCCCTGAGGCAGGCCGTTCTTCTGTTTCCGCCATCTGCTTCTCTGGCCCTGGAACTCAACAAAAAAGCTCCTGTTTTGTAGCAGGTTTCCTATGAGGCGGGTGAGGTGGTAGTCCTTTGTGATATTATACATTTTTCTCAGGAGGAGGTGGTGGTTCACAGTATCATAGGCTGCTGACAGGTCTATGAAGACAGCTCCTGTGATCTGCTGCCTTTCAAAGCCATCTTCTATGTGCTGAGTCAGGTTCAGCACTTGCGATGTGCAGCTTTTGCCTTTTCTGAAGCCAGCTTGCTGTGGGATCAGACAGGTGTCTATATTTTCCATAATTCTATGCAAAATAAGTCTCTCCAGAACTTTGTAGAGGTGGCACAACAGGGAGATTGGTCTGTAGCTTTTTGGGCTTGCTTTCCTCCAGATTTTGGGGATCTGACAGGATGCAGTGCATCCTTGTTGCCTTGTTGGAAAACTATTACAGGCTCCACAACAAAGACCCATTTAGTGAGCAGACTCTTCAGGCAGCGCAGAGCATTGTGTCCTCCATCTCTGAAGCCAAGAAAGAACAGTGGATCAAGCTGATCACAGAGGTCGACATGGGCAGGAGCAGCCAGAAGGTGTGGAGGTTGCTAAGACGGCTGAGCAATGACCCCTCACAAACTAATACCCATGCCAACATAAAGGCAGATCAGATAGCACACCAACTCTTGAAGAACGGGAAACCCAACCTTGCCACCAAAGTAGGAAAGAAACCAATAGCCAGACAACCAGAGATTGAGAACAACAACCTTCATGAACCCTTTACATTTGAAGTAATAATGAGCTCACGTATATACTCTTGTAGAAGTCTCAAAATTTTAGTCAAAATGTTGACCCGAAAAACGTTGGATGGCTTATCCATGTGGTCAGCTGTGGTCAGGGTGAAATACAAGAACTTAGTCCATCTGGAGAACATATCTCCTGCACCAACCTCCTCTATTCTTTCCACTATGGCAACACTTCTGGCCTTTTTCAATACTTGGAAGGGGAAATCCATACTTTTGGCCCCCAATATGTATACAGGAGGTCAACTTACTCATGAGGATATACTAGACTTATTTATTTATTATATCTCTATACCTTAGAATTATTTTTGAGGGAACTCACATGCTATATGTATTGTTGAAGGCTTTCGTGGCCAGGATCATTGGGTTGTTGTAAGTTTTTCAGGCTGCATGGCTATGTTCCAGAAGCATTCTCTCCTGGCATTTTGCCTGCATCTATGGCAGGCATCCTCAGAGGGTGTGAGACCTCACAACCTCTGAGGATGCCTGCCATAGATGCAGGTGAAACATCAGGAGAGAATGCTTCTGGAACATGGCCATGTTGTTGTTCATTCGTTCAGTCGTCTCCGACTCTTCGTGACCTCATGGACCAGCCCACGCCAGAGCTCCCTGTCAGCCGTCACCACCCCAGCTCCTTCAAGGTCAGTCCAGTCACTTCAAGGATGCCATCCATCCATCTTGCCCTTGGTCGCCCCCTCTTCCTTTTACCTTCCACTTTCCCCAGCATAATTGTCTTCTCTAGGCTTTGCTGTCTCCTCATGATGTGGCCAAAGTACTTCAACTTTGTCTCTAGTATCCTTCCCTCCAATGAGCAGTCGGGCTTTATTTCCTGGAGTATGGACTGGTTGGATCTTCTCGCAGTCCAAGGCACTCTCAGAACTTTCCTCCAACACCACAGTTCAAAAGCATCTATCTTCCTTCGCTCAGCCTTCCCTAAGGTCCAGCTCTCACATCCATAGGTTACTACAGGGAATATCATTGCTTTGACTATGCAATGGATCTTTGTTGCCGCATAGTCAAAGCAATGGTATTCCCTGTAGTAACCTATGGAACAGGGCCATACCGACCAAAAAAGTACAACTCTCATGCTATAGTTCAGAGAAATGGAGTAGAGGTCTCTAACAAAATTTCCAAGTTCTCCACCAATCTTAGAATTTCGTAGAATGGGTCAATAACAACTAAAGCAGAATCAAATCTCTCTAAATGTGTAGTGTAGATACAGTGCCCTCTATTTGTTCATGCTGGAGAATTCTGGAGTTGGAAGAAACCACAAGAGCCATCCAGTCCAACCCTCAGAAAAATACAACCAAAGCTCTCCTTGCTCACCCCGAGGAAGGACAATTCAGTTGTGGGTCTTCAACAATGTGAGGGATCCAGAGGTCCTAAAACTGGGGTCAAAATGAAAGGCACACTTTCCCTCAGAATTGGGAGTCCTTACCTTCTTCAGCCGCTCTGCAACATTGGTAGCCTTCAGCTGGAGGAGGTTTCCAAAGACCGGGAGTGGCATTGGACCTGGAGGCCAGTTTTTCCTCTTGGCCTCTACCTTCCTCCAGACCACCAGAAGGACCAGGCAGACCACCAAGAAGATGGTCGTGGTCCCCAAAAGATCCATGGCCCCTCAGCCTCTTTCTCTTTTCTGTTGCCTCAGAAGGACTGACGCTCATCGACCTTCTCCAAGGAGCATAATAGTCATAAGATAAACCCATAGGTAACGTTCAACCACCATCTGTTCAATGATTGCTATAAAGTTTTGGAACTGAGCCTGGGTTTGTATTTTCAGTATCCTCTTTCTCTCTTTGAGGACTGTAAAGGCCTTCTTTCTTTTGCTTCTAGGGCCTAAAATACATGATTGTCTCACCCTGTCACTCCACAGCACCAAAATAGGTTTTCCACCTTATTCACCAACACAATGTGCCCTCCATATTAACCTAGCCTAACTAACAAGGTGAACAGCTAGTGGATAGTTGACTAGTTGTGCCATCCCTGCAAGACTTACATCCTATTATCATAGAATCAAAGAGTTGGAAGAGACCTCATGGGCCATCCAGTCCAACCCCCTGCCAAGAAGCAGGAATATTGCATTCAAAGCACCCCTGACAGATGGCCATTCAGCCTCTGTTTAAAAGCCTCCAAAGAAGGAGCCTCCACCACACTCCGGGGCAGAGAGTTCCACTGCTGAACGGGCTCTCACAGATACAGTTCAGATGGAATCTCCTCTCTTGTAGTTTGAAGCCATTGTTCCGCGTCCTAGTCTCCAAGGAAGCAGAAAACAAGCTTGCTCCCTCCTCCCTGTGGCTACCTCTCGCATAATTATACATGGCTATCATAGCTCCTCTCAGCCTTCTTTTCTTCAGGCTAAACATGCCCAGCTCCTTAAGCCGTTCCTCATAGGGCTTGTTCTCAAGACCCTTGATCATTTTAGTTGCCCTCCTCTGGACACATTCCAGCTTGTCAACATCTCTCTTAATTGTGGTGCCCAGAATTGGACACAATATTCCAGGTGTGGTCTAACCAAGGCAGAATAGAGCATGGGAAGCATGACTTCCCTAGATCTAGACACTATGCTTCTATTGATGCAGGCCAAAATCCCACTGGCTTTTTTTGCCACCACATCACATTACTGGCTCATGTTTAACTTGTTGTCCACGAGGACTCCAAGATCTTTTCCACATACTGCTCTCAAGCCAGGCATTGTCCCCCATTCTGTATTGAAGCTCCCATGCTCCCTAATTTTGTGGCTAAAAGTTTGGTAGCTCCTGGAATACCTCAACCATTTTAGGTTAACTAGAAAAGTGAAATGTTGACTTCAAAGCTGTCCATGCTGAATGGAGGAACCCAGGAACAAGAAATTCGTGTTATTTTTGTAGAGAGGAGTCCATAATTCCATTTCTATTGCTCATAGTAGAACCATAGGACTGAAGACTTGGAAGGGATCCTAAGAGTCATCTAGTCCAACCTTCTCCTGATGTGGAAATCCACAGCTAAAGCACCCTGAGAAGTTTCAAACCTCCTTCTTCTGCGACTGAGGGACACACAGCTAGAAAGATGGAAAATTACTTCACTATATGACTACAGCAGCAAGATTGTGGTGTGTGAAAAGATGAAAGAATTCAACCCTACTTACCATGGAAGACTAATGGATGAACCTGTTTGAGTGGAAATGAGGAAAACAAATGCCAGTGTGCTCACACACCTCTGGACATCTTCCAGCAGGCCTATTATTATTATTATTATTATTATTATTATTATTATTATTATTATTATTTCAAACATTTCAACCCTTGGAGGGGGTCTCAGGGTGGCTTACAGCCATCAGCAATTCGATAATAATAATAATAATAATAATAATAATAATAATAATAATAATCCTTTATTTATACCCCGCTACCATCTCCCCAAGGGACTAGGTGCGGCTTACATTTGATGCCCCCACATACAAAACATGGCAAAACACAATTGCATAATAAGTAAAATATTAAATTAAATTAAAAATCCATTAAAAATAGTATTAAATGGTTGGCCATATCCAAATCCAAATTCTGCAACCAATGACTCAGTCCAAATCTGTCCATAGTCCATTCTCCATAACATTGCCATCGTTGTTGTCAGCCTGCTACCCCAATGCCTGGTCCCACAACCATGTGTACAAGTTCTTCCTGAAGGAAAGGAGGGCTGTAGTTCACCTAATTTCGCTGGGGAGTGAGTTCCAGAGCCAGGGGCTACCACCGAGAAGGCCCTGTCTCTCGTCCCCGCCAAATGCATCTGCGAGAGGGGGATCGAGAGCAGGGCCTCCCCAGGAAGTCTTAAGATCCAAGGTGGGACGTTGAGGGAGATACTTTCAAACAAGTAAGCTGCGCTGGAACTGTATAGGGCTTTATAGGTCAAGACCAGCACTTTGAATTGTGCTCGGAACTAGACCAGCAGCCAGTGGAACTCACACAACCGGGGAGTGGTGGTGGTATGGTAGTGGTGGTGGTGGCATGCTCCCTGTATGACACTCCAATGAGTAATGTAGCTGTCGCCCATTGGACTAGCTGAAGTTTCCGAACAGTCTTCAAGGACAACCCCACATAAAGCGTGTTGCAGTAATCTATTCAGGATGTAACAAGAGCATGGACCACTGTGACCAGATCAGACTTCCCAAGGTACAAGCAATATCCTCCTGAAACTGTGGAGTGCAGAACGGGACACAGATGTATTCCATGTAAGGTCTCACCACCTCCAGCTGTAGGGGAACATGGGGCGTCCTTCCACTACTGGTCCCTTGCTATATTGGAGAGGAGGGGCAGCATCAACCTTGGTATTGCCAATGCAAAAAAAAGAATGAGCAGGTGGCCAAACCACTGCATAAAAGTTGCCTGAACTCTGTTTCCCAAAAAAAGACCAAGACTGTTTACTGGCTATTTTATTTAAAAACAGAGAATAGAAAAAAAGAAAGAATAGATTACCAACAATGACATGGGTTATATTAGAAATATTGAGGATTGTATTGTTGAAGGCTTTCATGGCTGGAATCACTGGGTTGTTGTAGGTTTTTTGGGCTATATGGCCATCGTCTATTTATTTATTTATTTATTTATTTAGAGCTTTTATAACCTCCGAAGAGGGACTCTGGCCGGCTAACAGCAGAAAATTCATACACAAATAGAATAAACATAATAGCATCATAATACATTAATACAAAGATACATTAAAATACAGATCATGCCATTACAAAAAGCCAGGTTGTCAAAGTAAAATCACAAATTCATCACCATCCGCCAGTGTGGTCAGCCGTTATTGACTCAATCATCATTCTGCAAATGCTATATTCCAAAGCCAGGTTTTTACCAGCTTTCTGAAAGTCAGGAGGGAAGAGGCAGATCTAATCTCCATTGGGAGAGAGTTCCAGAGCTGAGGGGCCACCACCGAGAAGGCCCTATCCCTCGTCCCCACCAGGCGTGATTGCGAAGGAGGTGGGACCGAGAGCAGGGCCCCTCCAGAAGATCTTAACAACCTTGATGGTTCATAGGGGAGAATCCGTTCGGACAGGTAAACTGGGCCGGAGTCGTTTAGGGATTTATAGTTCAGCACCAGCACTTTGAATTGTGCTCGGAGGCTAATTGGCAGCCAGTGGAGCTGACGCAATAGAGGAGTAGTATGCTCCCTGTACTCCGCTCCTGTTAGTAATCTGGCTGCAGCTCTTTGGACTAGTTGAAGCTTCTGGGCAGTCTTCAGAGGCAACCCCACGTAGATAGCGTTGCAGTAGTTTCTCCTGACATTTCGCCTGCATCTATGGCAAGCATCCTGAGAATGCTTGCCATAGATGCAGGTGAAATGTCAGGAGAGAATGCTTCTAGAACATGGTCATATAGCCCAATAAACCTACAATAACTCATATTGAGGATTATCGGAGTATATTAGCTGACAAAATGTCACCAAGAGGAACAATTATTCTATGCAAAGCAAGGTGCAGTTCTATTCTCACTAAGGGTGCATCTATACATGATTGAATGAATGCAGTATGACACCATTTTGACTGCCATGTATCTATGCTATGGAGCCCTGGGAGTTGTAGTTTAGTGAGGCATGCCCACTTTTGGGCTAAAAAGGCTAAAGATCTTGCAAAACTAAAACTCCCAGGATTCCATAGAATAGATAAAGTAGCTCCAAACTGCATTCATTTTACGCCATAAATGCACCCAAAGACTGGCTAAACTAGTGGAACATGAAACAATTGATTTTAAAGCTCCAGATTGTAGAGGTTAACTAGGACTGCGGATAAGAGGATCTGAGCCTGGCAAGTATAAGCTAAACCAGATAGGTCAGGACAGAGAAACCAACTCAACAGGTTGAAGACAAACCACAGAGGTTCATTATTATTTGGCCAAAAAGGATGCAAGTACAGCAATTTGCCTTAGCATGTGCAAGCATAAGCATACAGAGAAATACAAGACATCTTATATAGTTCTGATAGCTATTCAAGCTTCCCGTTCCCTTCCCTGATTGCCAGGAAAAACTGGGTACGGATCCATGCCAGGACCAATTGGAAGGAAAAACTGTAGCTGGGGATTGGTCAGAGTGAAGGGTCAATCAGCTGCAGAAGCATCCCCTGGAAGGACACAATATGGGTGAAGATATGTGGATGGGCTTCTGATGAGCTCAAATCTCCAATTCCATGCCAAATAAAGGTAGGAGCTTCAGAAAACAAAGGTGCAGGTCTTCTGGAACAAAAGGTGCCTTGGTTAGACCACACCTGGAATACTATGTCCAATTCTGGGCACCACAATTGAAGAGAGATATTGACAAGCTGGAATGTGTCCAGAGGAAGGTGGCTAAAATGATCAAGGGTCTGGAAAACAAGCCCTATGAGGAGTGGCTTAAGGAGCTGGGCATGTTTAGCCTGAAGAAAGGAAGGCTGGGAGGAGATATGATAGCCATGTATACATATGTGGGAGGAACTCATAGGGAGGAGGGAGCAAGATTGTTTTCTGCTGCCCTGGAGACTAGGATGTAATGGAACAATGGCTTCAAACAACAGGAAAGAAAGGAGATTCCACCTGAATATTAGGAAGAACTTCCTGACTGTGAGAGCTGTTTGGCAGTGGAACTCTCTGCCCAGGAGGGAGTGTGGTGGAGGCTCCTTCTTTGGAGGCTTTTAAACAGGGGCTGGATGGCCATCTGTCGGAGGTGTTTTGAATGCAATCTTCCTGCTTCTTGGCAGAATGGGGTTGGACTGGATGGCCCATGAGGTCTCTTCCAACTCTAGGATTCTATGATTCTATGAACTTGGGTAATCAAAGACTTGGCTGTCAATAAAGAGGTTTAAGACATGCACATAGTCTAAGCCCCAGTTTATGTGGGCAGCAATATCTCAACTTCAGGTAAACTATATAACTAGGCAAACAGTTTTGGGTTTATCTGGGCTGGCACGAGAAGTCATCTATCTCTGCATATACATAAACAATGGTTCTGGTAATTATCTGGTTTGGGAAATAGCCAGAGGGATTTGCCCAGTCTTCGTGTTCTCAGGGGATTATCTTCACGGGTCATGGCAAGTTGACAGTCTCTGGGCTATGTCTTGACATATATTGATTATATATCACTATAGATAGTTGTTTTTTGTTATGTGATTTATATGATTTGTATTTTATTGAATGTTTTATTAATGTTGTGTTATTGATGTTTTGTTTGATGTACTTTGGGCTTGACCTCATGTAAGCCATGGGGAGATGGTAGCGCGTAGAAATAAAGATTATTAGTATTATTAAATAAAGATTATTATTAAATAAAGATTATTATTATTAGCTTAATATTAATATTAATATTAATTATTTAATTATTATTATTATTATTAAATAAAGATTATTATTATTAGCTTGGCCGCTGTGACGGTCTGGATGAGGGCGAACAAATTGAAATTGAATCCAGACAAGACAGAGGTCCTCCTGGTCAGTCCAAGGCCGAACAGGGCATAGGGTTACAGCCTGTGTTGGATGGGGTTACACTCCCCCTGAAGACGCAGGTTCGCAGCTTGGGTGTGATCCTGGACTCATCGCTGAGCCTGGAACCCCAGGTTTCGGCGGTGACCAGGGGAGCATTTGCACAGCTAAAGCTTGTGAGCCAGCTGCGCCCGTACCTTGGGAAGTCTGACTTGGCCACGGTAGTCCACGCTCTGGTTACATCCCGTTTAGACTACTGCAACGCTCTCTACGTGGGGTTGCCTTTGAAGACAGCTCGGAAGCTCCAACTAGTCCAACGCTCGGCAGCCATGATTTTAACAGGAGCGGAGCGCAGGGAGCATACAACCCCCCTGTTGCGCCAACTCCACTGGCTACTGATCTGCTACCGGGCTGAATTCAAAGTGCTGGCGTTGGCCTTTAAAGCCCTAAACGGTTCCGGCCCAAGCTACCTATCCGACCGCATCTCTGCCTATGAACCCACCAGGACTTTGAGATCTTCCGGGGAGACCCTGCTCTCGATCCCGCCTGCTTCTCAAGCTCGGCTGGCGGGGACGAGAGATAGGGCCTTCTCGGTGGTGGCTCCTCGGCTGTGGAACGCCCTTCCTACGGACATTAGACTAGCACCATCTCTAATGGTATTCCGCAAAAAGGTGAAGACCTGGATGTTTGTGCAGGCGTTTGAGTAATTTAGTGCAATCTGGTAATGGAACATAGGAATGGAAGAATGGACGACGAACCTGGACTACGCTTGGATGATGAGAAGATTGGGTACGGTTGTTTTTTGTAATAATTGTGCATTGTAATTGCTTATTGGTAATTTATGGATAATGTGTTAAGTCAATTGTTATATGTTGTATGGAACCACTGCTGTTTCTACTGTTTCTACTGTTTGTGAACCGCTGTGAGTCGCCTTCGGGCTTGAGATACAGCGGTATAGAAGCAAAGTAAATAATAAATAAATAAATATTATTATTATTATTTTATTGATACATTCTATAAAGCAGTTTATACATTTTATATATGGTATATAAAAAGATACAAGTTATAAGAAAATCAAGAAAAATATATACAATTTGTTGAAGGGTTAGAAACAATAGCGTATACAGCTGCTACTGGTTTGGTCTCGATCTTCTAATGCTTTGAACTTGCACAAGTCCAGAAAGGGTCTTTTCAAAAATGAAACATTCTGAGCCCTTGGTGAGCTATAATTCTTCTGGGGGGGGGGGTATCATGGCTTGACAAAAAAATTACTTATAGATAGCAGTAGTTTGGATGGCGACTTTGCTCCAGCACAGAAGAAATCCAATCTTGAAAGCCTTTGGCTGTTCGACAGGCTTCAGCTTTTGGATCCAAAGGAGAAAAGCTGCATCTCTTCTTAAACTTGAAAGATGGACTTTTGAGGATTGTAGGCAGAGATCCAAAGCACAGGTTCAACAGAATGTCCAAAGAAGTCCAGGCCACTTGGGTCATTTCCCAGTTCCCAATATTTTCCTCCAGCTGGAAGAAGATATGGATGGAAATCAAGGGGTCCTCTTGGCAGAGGACAACCAGGACCACCAGAGGAGGCTTGTTGTGGGAAGAGGCATAAGGATACCTGGCGATGGATGTTCAGGATGCCATTGACATCCATGGATGGGGTCAGTTTTGGTGTCTTGTTATTCAAATAGCATCACCTACACCAAGAATAGTACTTCATGAGAACTTTGTGGGAGCTGAGCAGACTGCTTGGTGTGGGATGTTCAGGATGCTACTGATGTCCAGGGTGAGGTCAATCTTGGGATCTTATAATTAAAATGGTAGCATCTACATCAGGCCTGTATAACCTGTGACCCTCCAGGTATTTGGGACTCCAACTCCTAGAAGCCCTGGCCAGTCCATCCAATGGTCAGGAATTCTGGGAGATGGAGGGCCACAGGTTCTGCAGGCCTGATCTACATGAAGGAGAGAACTTCATGAGAACTTCGTGGGAGCACATTGGCTTCTTCAATGCAGGAAGAAGTAGAAAGGGTCTTGGCATGGGATGTTCAGGATGCCATTGACATACAGTGTGGGGTCAATTTTGGGGTCTTATAATTAAAATGACAGCATCTACACCAAGGAGAAAATGTTATGAGAACTTCATGGGAGCAGAATGGCTTTTTCAACGCAGGAAGAAGAAGGGTCTTGGCATGAGATGTTCAGGATGCCATTGCCATCTGAGGTGAGGTCAGCTTTGGTGTCTTGCTATTCAAATGACATCATTCACACTAAAAAGAAGACTTCACAAGAACTTCATGGGAGTGGAATGGGCTCCTCAGCGTGGGGAGAAGCAGAAGGGGACCTGCCGTGGAACATTCAGAATACCACTGACTTCTGGGGTGAGATCTATTTTGGGCACTCCAGGAGCGTGTTTGAGGCAGAAGCTTTGCAGGATGGTGGTGATGAAGATGAAGAGCTCCATACGGGCCAGTCCTTCACCAAGACAGTTCCTCTTTCCTATAGGAGAGATGAGAAGAAAATATGTACTTCATTAAGGGTGAAGGGAATTGTTTACAGTCAACCAGAGACTGGATGACCATCTGTTGGGGGTGCTTTGAATGCGATTTCCTGCTTCTTGGCAGGGGGTTGGACTGGATGGCCCACGAGGTCTCTTCCAACTCTATGATTCTATGATTATATGACCCCCTGGAACCACAGATTCTTCATGCATGGATTCTACCACCCAATAATGGAAATTATTTCTTTTAAAATCCCAAAAGTTAACTTTGGTTTTGTCACTGTATATGAAAGACACAATTTTACTGTTCAGTTATATAGAAGTAGCATATCTACCCAGTGTTACCCAGGTATGCATTTTCCAATGCATTTTCCAATAGGACCTATTTTCCATTCATAAAAAATACACTGCTCTAGAATACCTCTAGAACATGGCCATATAGCCCGAAAAAACCTACAAGAACCCAGTACACTGCTCTAAGTATAGGATTCTGTCAAGGACTGAATTATTATTACCCAAGTATTTTCATCTTAAGGACTCCTTTCTCCTTTCTCCAGATTGCTTTCTTTCTGTCTGGTCCTCTGAGAAGGCTTCTCTTAGAATGTCTTCATAGCAACGCTCTTTCTCTCTAGAAAGGATTACTAGAATACCTTCCTACTGGTGATGCTATATTCCTCTTCTATTTGTCATATCTCCCTCTGAGTTAGCCTTTCTATCTCTACACTACCCTCTTGTGGTTATATCCAAGCATTGCATGTATACATACCCATTTATTAGTTTTGGGGACCTACTCCTGAACAAACTGGATTGTTTGGTTGACACCCTACCAGTATTTTAAGTTAGATAATGATGGGTATCTGTGTCAAGTTTGCTGCACATCCAGCAAACCACGTAGGAGTCTTTGTGGAACAAATATAAATATGTATTATCTGTCTATCTATCTATCTATCTATCTATCTATCTATCTATCTATCTATCATCTATCTATCTCCCATCTATCAATCTACACACACACACACACACACACACACGTGGGTGTATATATATATTCCCTGATACATATCAGGGAATCCCTATAGGATTACATGTAGCCTTGTAAGTCAATCTATGGCTAGTTATTCCCCAAAGCTGGCAATTCAGAAATACTTACCTGCAGAGAAAGGCATGTCAGCTTCGTTCTTCTTGAAGTGCCCATCTTTGTCCAAGAAGTGCTCTGGGTTAAACTGATATGGATCTGCAAATTGCTTAGGATCGCGGAGCGAGGAACTCAGGATGGTGCAGACAGTTGCCCCCTGTTCCAAAAAACAAAAACAAAACCAAACAGGGAAGAGAACTAGGTAAAAATCTACACACAACTACTAAGAGAGACAGCAATTCTTTTGCAAAGCTTATACAAAGGCATAGGGGATACTGAGTTGCATGTTGGCCCATGGTCCCCAGCTTAAAGACTCCTAAAATTCTCCTAAAAGCTTCCCCAAGAATCCCAACTTTGTAATTTAAGTGGTTAGAGGTTTCTATATGGTTCCCAAACCATATAGAAACACCTCCAAATTATGAAATATCCCCACCTCTATGGGGTGCCCAAGAACCACATACAGCAGGCATATATGGCTTTCCCCCTTCTCAAAATGATGACTGGAAATGGCCTGATGTTGCTTCCTGTCATCATTTAGAGAGGGAAACACAGGTATTTGGACTTGGAATGAGAATCAAGTCTATGAGACGGGCTGAATTTGTGACCGTATGCACATATTGAACAATATGTTCTACCTCCAGAATCATGAAGACAACAGGAAATTGAAAGTTACCTGGGAAGGTCAAGAGCTTGAGCATTGTTTCCATTGTTTCCATACTAAATATCTTGGTGTCACCTTAGATCGAACATTAATATATAGGAAACCCTGCTTGAACACCAAGCACACAGTAGCTGCACGCAATGACATCCTGTGGAAATTTACTGGCAGCACATGGGGATCCAAAATTAATAAGAACCTCAGCCCTGGCCTTGTCTTACTCAACTGCTGAGTACGCCTGCCCTGTTTGGCATAAGTCTGCCCAGGCGAAACAGGTGAACGTAGCATTGAACTAAACATGCAGAATAATCACAGGATGTCTTAAACCTACACCTGTTGATAAACTCTACAAGCTAGCTGGCATTGCCCCCTCTGATGTGCAATGGGAAGTTGCTGCTAACTGTGAGAGAAATAAGGTTGAACACTGTGAAAGCCACTCACTGCATGGCTATCAGCCTCTTCCCAGTAGACTCAAATCAAGGAAAAGCTTCACAAGAACCTCCACTCCTCTTAACATTCCCCCAGCAACATCAAGAATATCCCTGTGGGCAGCAAAATCAGGCAATTTCAACTGGATGTTCTCCCACGGAGGGTCTTCCTTCAGGGGCAAACTAAGAATGGGCAACTTGGAAGTCCCTGAACAGACTCAGAAGTGGAGTGGGCAGATCCAAAGACAACCAGGCAAAATGGCACTACCTAAAAGTATCCCACACCTTGTGTGACTGTGGAGCAGAACAGACAACTCTGCATCTGTATGCTTGTCCGCAATGTCCTGCCTCATGTACAGAGGAAGAATTGCTGGAGGCTACAGACAGAGCGGTCATTGACCGCTGACTGCTTGATTGTTTTTATACTGTTTTATATTGTTTTATACTGTTTTATATTGCTTTATATTGTTTTATATTGCTATTATGATATTGCTGTTAAATTGTATATTTGTGTTTTGATGTGGGCGCCATGGGGTGCTGATTTGTTAGTCGCCCTGAGTCCCTCTGCAAAGGTTGAGATAGGACAGGATATAAAAGGCCCAAATAAATAAATATTTTTTTGCCTGTTTTTGGTCAAAAGATATTTAGCCGCTGTAACGACGCCACCAGTTGTAGGGAGGTTACTGATTTGTCAGAGTCTCCTACAATTTGTAATGGATCTACAACTTCGATAACACAGCCACTAGCCTGTAATATTTTGTTTGTCTTCCTTCGATGTGTAGCGCGGCTTGATTCAAAAGTATACGAAACAGAGGCTTGGATTTAAGAGAAACTGTAATAAGTTTATTGATGTGTAAAAGAAGCTTAATGGTTTCAATGTTTCTTAACTCCTAGAGGCACATTCCTTTAGTGGTTACATTTATAACTTCATAAAACAACTCTTAAGAGGGCTGTTCTTTCTACTAGACAGGTTTTAAACTTATTTTCTTCAAAATGTATCTCTTTCCTTAACAGATCACTCCAGGTACTAGCCTACTCTTTCCCTCTGTTATCTCTGTTACAGTAAAGATTCTTACTGGGGTTCTGTTCCCCTTTTTGCTCAAACGCTAACTACTAATCTAAATAAGTCAATTTGACCTATCTAAACCACACAGGCTAAAAGCCTAAACCTTCCTGATTCTCAACACAGTAGAATCAGCTTTCCCTGCGGTTCTCTGACCACAGACTGCCTATTTAAAATGCCTGCTTCTGCCAATTGGCAGTTGGCTCCTCCCCTTTTACCATGGCAACCCATCTCAGAGTGAGCTGAGCTTGCTACCATCCTCCCAGTTATGCTATTTTAAATACTTAACCCTTTAAACACCTACCGATAATTATACATGACTGTAGGTTAAAATTCACACCTCACCACAGCTACTTGTGCTCCTTCTATTTTTATCAGTTTTATACTAATGTATGCAATGCTTTTGATACAAAATAAATAAATGAGCTATGAACTTGCCAGAACTTCAGTGTGTGTGTGTGTGTGTATAATTTTTAGGAAGCAATTAAGCAATGTATGGATATATATATTGTGAAAAGGTGAAAAGACAGCCAAACAGCACACTGTTCATATGTTATAATCTACCAGTATTCTTAAAAGCCCCATGGTATAGGAGGACCCTTTTCACTTGATAGCAGGGGGCATCCCAGTCTCCCTAAAATTTAAAATTGGGAAGCAGTTGCTGAGGTTTATCTACACAGTCAAATGAATGCAGTTTGAGACCACTTTAACTGCTATGGCTCAATGCTGTGGAACCCAGGGATTTGTAGTTTGGTGTAGCAGAACTCTTTGGCAGAGAAACCTAAAGATCTTGTAAAGTTCCAAATTCTATGATTCCATTGCATTGAGCTATTGCAGGTAAAGTGGTCTCAACCTGCATTAATTTGACAGTGTAGATGCACCCCCTTATCTTCCTTATGCCCACCAAATGTGCCTGCAAGGACATTGGGAAGCAAGAAGGACCTTCTGTGGAGATCGTAGATCTCAGGAAGGCTCATATGGAGAGACATGGTCTTTCAGATTTGCTGAACCTGAATAGAATTGGAACAGGGATTGGACTTCTGGTAAAACTGCAGCCAGTACCTTTGGGATGGTGAAGCCTTCCAGCTCGATGTCCCTTTTCGTCACACGGAAGATGCCTAAGGGGACGAGGTCAAGGAACCTCTGGCCTTCATGGATGGCGGCCTCAGTGAAGGGCATATCCAGGCGGTCCTTCATGGTGGGTATCCGCTCCCGGCCAATCACCCGGTCTATTTCATCATGGATTTTGGCTGGAAGGAGATTCAAGGGCAAAGCATGAACAGCATCCCGATAGACAGCCAGTGCTGTTCCCCTTCATTCAGCATATTGCAATCTCTTAAGGCTTCCATTCTAGGTATCCTTCCAGGTTTTCATTCAGAATTCCATGAAACTCCCCAAGATATTGGAACTGTTTCGATGTCAGTACCTTGGAGAGTTCTTTGTGAAATAATGCTCAAAATGAATTGACTGCACTTCTAATAACATAGCGTAACAGTGTTGGAAGAGACTCCAGGGCCATCTGCCCAAGCTCTTCTGACATAATGTGGATGGCAACAGCTGATAGGATGGAGCAATGCTATATCTGATACTAAACGGTCATGTTCAGCTGCCTGAAATCTTAGCAAACTGGATGGTAGGACTGAGAATGAAGCACAATAGTCTAGAGCTTCTCAAGCTGTCTCATGTGGGAAGCCAGCAATTATTATCTTCCAGTTGCTTCTGGTTGACTTTTTTCACCTTAAGAACAAACAAGGATCTCGAGGTCTGAGGATGACCTGGGGAGGAATCCCACTGGAGCATTGCAGAGCACCCAAAGACCTGGGAGGCACTCTGGACCATGCTCTGACCTACAAGAAGCACTGCCTGAACATCAAGCAAAAAGTGGGCACTAGAAACAATATCATACGAAAGGTGACTGGCACAACCTGGGGACCACAACCAGACACAGTGAAGACATCTGCCCTTGCGCTATGCTACTCTGCTGTGGAGTACGCATGCCCAATTTGGAACACATCTCACCACGCTAAAACAGTGGATGTGGCTCTTAGTGAGACACGCCACATTATCATGGGATGTCTGCACCCTATACCACTGGAGAAATTACACTGCTTAGCCGGTATTGGCCCACCTGACATCCGCTGGGAAGTAGCAGCCAATAGTGAAAGGACCAAGGCAGTGACATCTCCAGCTCATCCCTTGTTTGGGTGTCAGCCAGCACGTCAATGACTTAAATCTAGAAATAGTTTTCTAAGATCTACAGAAACACTCGCTGGAACACCCCAGCAAGCGAGAGGCCAAAAGTGGCAGGCTCAAACCCAGAACCTCAATCAATGGCTGAGACTGAATGAGAGACTCCCCTCTGGGCACACAGAAGACATTTTGGAAGGCATTGAACAGGCCGCGTTCTGGCACCACGAGATGCAGAGCCAACCTTAGGAAATAGGGCTACAAAGTGGAATCCACGCCATGCGAGTGGGGAGAAGAGCAAACTACAGACCATCTGCTGCAATGCAACCTGAGCCCTGCCACATACACAATGGAGGACCTCCTTGCGGCAACACCAGAGGCACTCCAAGTGGCCAGATACTGGTCAAAGGACATTTAATCAACTACCAAGCCTGCAAACTTTGTGTTTTGTCTGTTTGTTTGTTAAAAAATGCAATACAACTGTTTGGTTTGCTCCTGAGACGATAAATAAATAAATAAACAAACAAACAATCTTCCAGTATTTGTACCATTAAGTAGAATAGTACAAATAGACCTGTGCATTAGGCACTTCTTTCTGTAGTGCCTAATGCACAGGTCTAGGGACAGTCGTTACAGTTTATTGATTTGGTCCTTTAAAAATATGGAGCAGTTTAGTGGAAGGAGTAGACACAGCATGCTATAGGTATTTGGGCATTGGACAATGACTTTGGGGAAACATGGGAACCCACTAACAATGGACAAGTCACACTCTCTCCTCTGAAGGCCCCTCTGAAAAATAACTTGCCAAGAAAACCCCATGATGGGGTCATCTTAGGGTTGCCAGAAGTTAGAAATGACTTGGAAGCACTTAATAACAAAGATGAAGAAACTTTTCTGGTAAACAATGACCCAAGACATCTTCCTTATGAAAATAATTGGTGCACTTTTGAGAATATACAGCAAAATAGACAAGGTAAGAGAAACCTGGAGTTGAGTCATGTTGGGGGTTGGGAGTCTTGCTTAGATCAAAGCTTTACTTTTTAAGTAGGAAGGACATCTGAGGAAAGCTAAGATGTCTCTCCTCCAAGAGAGGATTGAGAGGTACATGAGAAGGAAGAGGAAGTGACTCCAGCAACCTCACCAAATATGTCAATCCAAAGTCTGGATACTTTTAGTAACCTCAACTAGAGTGAATCTCATTGAAACTGAGAGTCATGGCAAATTCCATTAATTCAGAAGATGAGACAACAAATGAGACAACAAATGGGATTCTGAAGGTCCATAGAAGGGAGAGCAGACTTGAGGAAGGAGACAGTCAAGGAAATCTGGGGAGATCTTTTCCTCTTCACCATCCCAAGATAAGACACTCCAGGTGCAACTATGTATGGGGCTGCCAGCTGAAAAAATGAGTCAAGTACTACAGGAAAAGGCAATGGACTCAACTGCTGGGAAATACCTTGGACCTCCGGGTGCTCCACCAACGTCATGAAAAAGTATCTCATGGTGGTGCTGCTGGTTTCCGTTCCAGCGATAAATAAATCATAAATGGTCATCATCAGATTCTCTTTAGTAAATTCTGTGTTGGGGTTGTCCTTCTCCTGCAAATGGGGAGAATTATGGTGGAACCATCATCCACAACACAAGAGTCCAGTCAGCTTGGTCATCTCTTTGAAACATGAAAGCGTTTGATACCACATTAACTGCCACTACCGCATCCTATGGGATCCTGTTATTTGTAGATTGCTGTGGCATCATTGCTCTCTCACATAGAAGGAGAAATATCCCTTAAAACCATAACCTCCAAAATTCTCTGTGTGTCCTCTGAAGAAGCACATGATAGTTTTGCAAGAACATCAATTCCAGGGTCTTAACAGTCTAGGTGTTCTCACTGACCCCCCCCCTCCCCCACAAACACTGTTTACTTGTCATGTCCCATCCATCCCTCATGTCCCACCTGCTCCATTTTGAGGAGGAAGGCATCTACGAAGTTCTGAGGAACATCAGTGTGATCCGAGGTCTTCTCACGCTCTTTTACCTTTCGGGCAATAAAGGCCTGGACACCATAAAGGTTTTTGAATAAGTTTTGGTGTTCACCAGGCAAATAGTCCATGATCCTGGGGAAGAAATTGTAAAGCTGAAGGGGAGAGGAAGAGGAAGAGAACAAGATATTGAATCCCTTCAAGGAATTAAATCCACCTCCTTAGTTAACTTGATACAATTGTTTAGCAAGTTGCAACTAGCAGAGACAACCATCTAGTGAATTAAATGGACCTTGGAATGGAAAGTACAGGGTGGACATCATTTTTCATGGTCGTATCATCAAGTGGATACCTGGGACATTTCTACTGAGGTCACCCTTCATGATGGTGTCCCCAGATGTCTTCAGACCCCTCCTAATAGCACCACTCATCCAAAAAGCAATTTTTCCTCTCTGCAGTCTTTCACCTGATTCCAAGTTGCTTTCCATTCCTTTGGTGACTCTTCCTCCTTCTCCATCTCTTCCTCACCACTTCTTCCTCCTCCTCCTCTTCCTCCTCCTCTACCTCCTTCTCCTCTTGCTCCTTCATGTCCTCTTTCTTTTCTCCACCTCCATTGCTTCCTTACTCCTTCTTCTTCCCGTCCTATTCTTCTTCTCCTCTCCTCCCCCTCCTATTCTTCCTCCTCTCCCATCCTCCCCCTCCCTCTCCTATTCTTCTCCCTGTTTTCCTCCTCTCCCTTGTCTCCCTCCTTCCTTCTCCTCTTCACCTGTCCTGAGACTGAGCTCTCCAGGCGGGTGCCATCAATGAGCTGCTTGAGGGTCTGGAGGTACTCCTCATCATAGTAGTCAAACCGTTCCCCCAGAAGGATGTGGCTGATCACATTGGCTGTGACGCAGTTGAAAAGGTGTTGTGGGTTGTAGGCTTGCCCTGGATGGAAAGAGAACAAAAGTGGCAGAGGTTTGAGAACGGGACAAGGACTGCAGGAGACCAGGTTTTGAATCCTACTTGAAAGTCAGAAGTCCACATATTTCTTTAAAGTGGCTGTTATCTGATGTTTCACCAGTGCTAGGAGACCCTTTTTGCACATGACTTTTCTTTCATGGAAGTATCACCTTGTTGTAGTCAACTAGGACCGCGGTTAAAGAGGATTCGTACCTGGTAAGCTATATGCTAAAAACCAGATAAACCAGGACAGAGAAACCAACTGACCAAGTTGAAGATAAGCCACAGAGGTTTATTTCAATTTGACCAAAACAGATAATAATAACTTCATTTGTACCCCACCATCATCTTTCTATATCTCATCTTTATTTTCCATTGCCCTTTTATCACTTCTAGACATATATAGAGATTACTACATTTTACAATTGAGAGGTGGAGGAAGGAATGGGATGGCACAATGGCTTGTGGAGATGGCTTCTACATCTGGAAGCTAGCTTTGGGAACTTCTGTATCCAACCCTGGATTCCACCCCTCTCCATTTTAGATTTCCTAAAATGGCAAATATGGTTCTCCTTTTCCTTTTGAAGAATTTGTTTAATTGCCTTAAATTCAAAGCCCCAGACCAGCGGTCTTCAGTAATATAAGTACTAACTAGTAGGGCTGGGCGGTTTCGTTTCGATAATTCGTAATTCGTAAAAATTCGTTATTTTTTTTATAACGAAGCGATAACGAACCATTCAGGAGCAACTAAAAAACGAAACGAATTTTTAAATTCGTTTCGTAAATGCTTCGGATTCGTTATGTATTCGTTTCGTTATTGTTTGAGGTCGTTTCGTTATTATTTCCGCATGTCTGGGGCAAGTTTTATAGTTGTTTTTTGTTTAATTAGTGAAAAAAAATTATAATATCACACCAACAGTCAACAACAGAGGAAGAGGGAAGCTTCAGAAGTTCCCCCTGTCCCATTTGGAGGTTTTTTAGCGTATTGCGCGGTCGCGTCCGCCATTAACGAATCGATTCGTTATTGTTTCGTTATTGTTTCGTAATTTTTTTACCATTTACGAAATTTCGTAAATATCGAACTTTTTTAAAGAAAAATTTCGGAATTCTTTTAAATATCGAAACGCAAAAAACCCCAAAAAACGAATCGATTTTAGAAACAAATTTTTCCATTGTTACCCAGGCCTACTAACTAGACATCCAAATTCAAAGTTAGATTTGTAGCAATGACTAGGAAATTAGTATTTTTCTCAATGGTCACCTTAAGTAACCAGATAACAGAAAAGATGAAGGTCACATTACTTCTCATTTGGATTAATTATTAAAAGTGCCAGGTGTCAAGGTGTGGGCACTCACCCCTTGTGGCCCTGAGCTCCTCCATCATGTGTTCCGCCTCATCCTGGATCCGTTCCTCGATGCTCTTCTTTCCCATCCCAAAGTTCCTCAAGGTCATGAGTGAGAAGCGGCGAAGTTGGACCCACCGCTCACCGTTGGACATGATGACGCCTGGAAGAGGGAAGCCAAATGAACATCTAGCCCATCATGTTTGGAGAAGAAATCACTGGACTCTGCTCCAGAGATATAAGGCCTATCCTGTGTGCATGATTTCAAGTCACTGGCTGATTTATGGTGACACCACGGATATCAGAGGATTTTCTTAGACAAGGAAAACTCCGAGGAAGTTCCTTCCTCTTATATACAGTTTATGCATTAGTTGACAGCCTCCAAAATCCAAGTCCCAACCAGGGCTGACTATGCTTAGTTTCCAAGATCAGATGGGATCTGGTGCCATTATGTCATTTGGCAATGGGATAACTCTCTTTATCTTCCTGGGTTAAGAGTTTAAGTTCATCTGGTTCATTTCTCAGCCTCTCTGTCTGTCTACCTTCAGGTTGCCTATCAACTTAGGTGTGAGGATTTGGAAATTAACTCATTTTTTAAGTGATAGAAGGGTTAATATCTCTGGCCTAACCACCTGTGAGACTTCAGCCACTGTAATTAGGATGTGATTGTCAATGCAATTAGAGTAGTACATCGGTTGTAGTTATACTGAGTAAGTTTTGATGAAGTTTTGTTGAAAGTTGTTGAGAGACAGATGGTGTGCTGGAGAATTGCTGCTATGAGTAGTGAGGAAGAAGAAGCTGTACAGTTTGTATATACTTTGTATACTGCTGCAAAAAAGGAGGAAGAAAAGCCTTCTTGTGTATTTTGGAAAGAACAAAAGTATCTGCGTATTTTGTTCTTCTAATAGAAGACCATTATACAAATGGTTCTCTTACCAGAACAGGTGTTTTATGAGTGCATAGAAGCCCTGACATCATGGTGATTGCATTGATTTCAGAGGGCTTTCTTACACAAGGAAGACTCACAGGCAGTTTTGCCAGTTGCCTCCTCTGAACAGAGCCTAGGATATCTGGGAATCCTTGGAGAAGGTTCTTTTATTTGGATGACCACAGTCTTAAAAGGCACCGTTCTCCAAGCTCTGGAAGTTCTAGTCTGCAGTATTTGATCATGTGTCTAAATGTGCCTTCAAGTCCCTTCTTGACATATGGTGACCCATGAATTTCACAGGGTTTCTTTAGGCAAGGAATCCTCAGAAGTAGTTTTGCCATTGCTTTCCCCTGAAATACAGCCTATAGTATCTGGTTTCCCAAGGCAGTCTCCTCACCATAGTGCCTACAAGGGTCAACACTGTTTACCTTCCAAGATCAGAGGAGACCTGGTCCCATTAGGTTATATGGGCAGGCTAGGAGGTTGTTGTTCATTCATTCAGTCGTTTCCGACTCTTCGTGACCTCATGGACCAGCCTACGCCAGAGCTCCCTGTCGTCCGTCACCACTCCCAGCTCCTTCAAGGTCAATCCAGTCACTTCAAGGATGCCATCCATCCATCTTGTCCTTGGTCGGCCCCTCTTCCTTTTTCCTTCCATTTTCCCCAGCATCATTGTCTTCTCTAAGCTTTCCTGTCTCCTCATGATGTGGCCAAAGGACTTCATCTTGGCCTCTACTATTCTTCTCTCCAATGAGCAGTCGAGCTTTATTTCCTGAAGTATGGACTGGTTGGATCTTCTCGCAGTCCAAGGCACTCTCAGAACTTTCCTCCAGCACCAGAGTTCAAAAGCATCTCTCTTCCTTCGCTCAGCCTTCCCTATGGTCCACCTCTCACATCCCTAGGCTAGGATGTATCATACTTACATTGTTGGTATGGCCTCCAAAATCTGTTGAGTTTGATGCAAGACCTCCATATACAGCTTCCCAAAAACAGCCAAATATCTAGAAAATAAGAGTGTTTTGGACAGTGGAAGCAATAGTCCAAAGAGAGATGGTGGGCCCAGAGAAGGAGACCCATCACCTTTCTTTGGACACTTGGGTCCACCATCCAAATGTTCTTTCTGATGTTCAATCAAAATCCAATCTGGTTTTGGAATGGAAATGGAGTAGAAAATTGATCTTAGATGGGGTGGTCCTGGAAATAAAATGATGCCACATCCAGTAGTCATAGAGCAGATACAACAATTCCCTTATTTTGACATGTTCTGGCAACCTCTGGAGAATTTTCCCCTGGATATTTGCATGAATTTAGACACAGTTTTAGTCATATTTTCTCCAATTATGGCAACTTTAAAAATTGGGTCTTTTGGTATGTCTAACAGGTGCTTTGGTTGGTTGCAAAAATGAAGATTTGGGCTCTACACTTAATTTGTTTTGGGTGGCAATCAAGAGATAAAAGCGGGGTGAAAAAGAAGAAGGAGCTTCCAACCAAGGCATGAACTCTGAAGAAAGCTTGTTTTACAAGGAAAGGAAAAAGGGGTTCCAGTACTGGGTGATCTTGAGCATGTCATCTTTTCTCAGCCTCATAGTGTCACCACAACTTGAGGGCACACAGCAACAATAACATCAGCAACATTAACCACTAACCAAGTCCTTTGTTGGTCTTATCTGCCGAAGGGAAGCTTCCCCTGTTGAGGAATTCATCTCCGTTGTCCAATAACACCTTCCTCACCACCTCATAGCCGTAGACGATGACCATTGGGTCTGAGCCGAAATACACCATGAAGACCGATCCATACTTTTTACTCATCTGTAAAGATATTGGAGGAATGTCAGAATAGGTTTTGGAGCTAAAAGAGTCAAATTTATTATATTTTGCAATAAAGGCCATGGAAAAACAAGCTAAACATGGAATATATATGATTCATTTAGTCTAGGGCAGTGGTTCTCAATCTTCCTAACACCGTGACCCCTAAATATGGTTCCTCATGTTGTGGTGACCCCCAACCATAAAATTATTTTTGAGAGCGCGAGGTCTGGCCTTGTGCAAAGCCTTGAGGGATGGGGACCAAAGCCTTGGGGGGCGGGGCCAAAGGAGGTGACCTCGCAACCCCTCCGAAATGGCCAAATGACCCCCTTGGGAGTCGCGACCCCCAGGTTGAGAACCGCTGGTCTAGGGTTAACCCACTGAGGCCCCTTCCACACAGCTGAATAAAATCGCAGGTTTTCTGCTTTGAACTGGACTATATGGCAGTGTGGACTCAGATAACCCAGTTCAGAGCAGATATTCTGGATTATATGGCTGTGTGGAAGGGCCCTGAATCAACTGTTGAAAGTTGAGTCAAATCATAGAACCCTAGAGTTGGAGGAGACCTGGTGGGCCATCATCCAGTCCAACCTCTTTCTGCCAAGAAGCACTTCGAACAGATGGCCATCCAGCCTCTGTTTAAAAGCCTCCAAAGAAGGAGCCTCCACCACACTTTGGGGCAGAGAGTTCCACTGCTGAACAACTCTCCCAGTCAGGAAGTTCTTCCTAATGTTCAGATGGAATCTCCTTTAGGAAGAACTTCCTGACTGTGAGAGCTGTTCAGCAGTGGAACTCTCTGCCCCGGAGTGTGGTGGAGTCTCCTTCTTTGGATGTACAAGGAAGCTCATGGATTGGATGAGTCTACTCGCAATCAATACTGCATTTTTCCAACTAGGGTGAACCCACTGGATCAACTGTTGAATGAATCAATAGCTAAGTAAGTCCAACTGATTGACAGGTCTATTCTGTTTGATGTTTGGACTTAGGCCAAGACTTTAGTTGGTGAAAAATTGGCTGTGTGAGGCATTATTCTGGAATAAAAATAGGATTTGAAAGCAACCAGTGAGTCAACATCCACACCCACCATCTTAATACTTTGACCATTGGGAGCGCTTTGACCATTGGGTGACCTCAAAGGTGGGGTGTCTTAGGGTGCATCTACACTGTTGAACTGATGCAGTTTGACACCACATTGACAGACATGGATCCGTGTTGTGGAATCCTGGGAATTGTAGTTTTGCAAGATCTTGAGCCTTCTCTGGATGCATCTTTCTGATAGAATGAGTGCAATTTCAAACCACTTTGGCTGGCATGTCTCAGTGTTTTGGAATCCTGGGATTTGTAGTTTGGTCACTTCCCAGATCTCTATAGCATTGAAGGCTAAAGACCTTGCAAATCTACAACTCCCAGGATTCCATGGCATTGTGACACAAGTTCCAGTCATGCTCAACTGCATTGATTCTGCAGTGTAGACCCACCCCTTAGCAAACAGCCCAGCTCAACTCTACTTTATATTTATGCAATACTCAAAGTACGCAACATTCTTGGCCAATGCCAAGCTGTTATGCTCCTTCTCTCAAGCACACAAGCACACAATCTCTCCTCATCTAAGATGGATTCTGCCCTTTTAATCTTTGCCCTGAAATAACTGTGATACTCACATGTTTTGGCTTTCTGTCCCAGGAAAAAAACATATCTCAGAAAAATACCGTATTTCCAAGAGGAGCAATTACACAGGCCAACATACATTTTGGTGCCTCATATGTTGGATTTGCTTCTGGGTCTGTTTCTCCTGCTGTCTCAAAAATGGCACCAGTTTTCCCCTTACTCTTAGATGGCATATGTTGTGAGATATAGAACACATGGCATCTCAGAGTAAGAAATCATAACAACCCTATCCAAGAAACTAGAACTGATATGGTCTACTCAATGCAATTTTCTGATCATAGAATCCTAGAATCAAAGAGTTGGAAGAGACCTCCTGGGCCATCCAGTCCAACCCCATTCTGCCAAGAAGCAGGAATATTGCATTCAAATCACCCCTGACAGATGGCCATCCAGCCTCTGTTTAAAAGCTTCCAAAGAAGGAGCCTCCACCACACTCCGGGGCAGAGAGTTCCACTGCTGAACGGCTCTCACAGTCAGGAAGTTCTTCCTCATGTTCAGATGTTCCAAATAACACCCAGAAAAAGCCTAAAAGCTTAGATGCCAGGCCCGTAGCGGGGGGGGGGGGGTGTTGAGGGGCTTCACCCCGCCCCCCCGAAATTCTCAGGGTGTTCTGCGAGAAGGCCTTACTGGTACATTATTTAAACTGTTATGTTTATTCATATCATGATCTGATCACCATGCTCAATATATCCCATATGCATGGGGGTATTGGGATAATGATACAAAAGGTTTGCTAGGGTAGATCCTGAGCCCCCCCCGAGTCAAACTCAGCCCCCCCAAGTCAAACTCAGTCCCCCCAAGTCAAATTCAGCCCCCTGAGTCAAGTTCAGCCCCCCATCAAACTCAGCCCCCCCTGTGTCAAATTCAGCCCCCTAGGTCAAGCACAGCCCCCCCCAGTCAAGTTCAGCACTTCGAGTTAAACTCAGCCCTCTGAGTCAAACTCAGCCCCCCCAAGTCAAACTCAGCCCCCCCGAGTCAAAGTCAGCCCCCCTGAGTCAAACTCAGTCCCCCAAGTCAAATTCAGCCCCCTGAGTGAAACTCAGCCCCCCCGAGTCGAACTCAGCCCCCTGAGTCAAACTCAGCCCCCTCGAGTCAAACTCAGCCCCCTGAGTCAAACTCAGTCCCCCAAGTCAAATTCAGCCCCCTGAGTGAAACTCAGCCCCCCCGAGTCGAACTCAGCCCCCTGAGTCAAACTCCCCCGAATCAAACTCAGCCCCCCCCCTGAATCAAACTCAGCCCCCCCAAAATCAAACTCAGCCCCCCCCGACCAAAACGATTCCCTCCCAACCCCATCAGTATTCAGATTTGGGCGTATGGGGTATTTGTGCCAAATTTGGTCCAGTGATTGAAAACACATTCTGCATCTCAGATATTTACATTACGGTTCAGAACAGGAGCAAAATTACAGTTATGAGGTAGCAACTAAAATAATGTTAAGGTTGGGGGTCACCACAACATGAGGTCTCGGCATTAGGAAGATTGAGAAACACTGTATTAGAGGCATAGAGGAAACTTCTACCCAGCTCTGGTGGTGAGGTTCAGAAGCTCCTTCCAAGGTCTTGCTCCTTACCTTCTTAAACTGTTCTGCCATGTTGGTGGGCTTCAGCTGGAGGAGGTTTCCAATGACCGGGAGGGGTGTTGGGCCTGGGGGCCAGTTCTTCCTCTTGGTCTCCACTTTCCTCCAGGCCACAAGGAGGACCAGGAAGACCACCAGGAAGAGGGTGGTGGTCCCCAACATTTCCATGGCTCTTCAGCTCTTTTCTCTCTCTTTCCTTGTGGTGAAAAGTAGCAAAGAGACTGAAGTCCAGAGACCTTCTCTGAAGTCCACAATCCTAATCAACAGGAAGCATGAAATGGGATCAGTCATCATCAGAGAAAAGAAAAAAAACAACCACTGTTATATAACGATGGAACTGAGCCCATGTTTGTATGCCTCCTTTATTTACTTGATTCATTTCTCAACTTTGTCCTGGGATGGGACTCAAGTTGGCTCATGCCAAGTTTGGAACAGAGTTTACGTACAAATGAAAAGGAGGCTCCACACTTGCTGAGTTTAAAGGCACAGGACACCCATCAAAGTAGGAACAACACATTGGACAAAGAACACTCACATTACAATACTTGTTATGTGTAAAATCATAAGTATTTCCCTGTATTTTCAGTGCAAAAAGAGAAACAAATAAAATTCTATGTCCAAAATACTGTTTTCTGCACACAAAAAAGCATGGGTGAATTTTCTGCACACAAAAAAAGCATGGGTGAATTTTCTGCACACAAAAAAGCATGGGTGAATTTTCTGCACACAAAAAAAAAAGCATGGGTGAATTTTCTGCACACAAAAAAAAAGCATGGGTGAATTTTCTGCACACAAAAAAAAAGCATGGGTGAATTTTCTGCACACAAAAAAAAAGCATGGGTGAATTTTCTGCACACAAAAAAAAGCATGGGTGAATTTTCTGCAGAATATACTCAGAACTGCAAAGATCCCCCTCAATCCAGGATTTTCCCTTAATGGGATTTAAGGGTTTGGAAAACGATTTGGGTATGAGATCATGACTTGATATTTTATATGGTTTTAATCTGCTTGATGATTGATACGTGTTTTAATTGCTTATTTATTTAGATCGTTTATGTTTTGATGAGATGTGTTTTATTGTTTGTATGGCATTGAATTTTTGCCGGATCTGCAAGCCGCCTTGAGTCCCCTTCGGGGTCGAGAAAGGCGGGGTCGAAATGAAGTAAATAAGTAAATATATTTCCTAAAACTCAGCAAAAATGATCAATAGTATTTGAGATATATGAACTAGCTTAATTGATCAGTATTTTGCACATATAGAGGAAACATAGCGTAATAGAAGAGTTTGGAAGAGTCTGTTTATGGAGCTCCAAAGTCCCACTGGCGTTCCATTTTCTGATTTTGCAAAAAATGCAAAAACACCTGCTTAGTTTATAAAAGAAGCAGAAAGAAGAGGCAGATTCTCCCGCCAATCCAAGCAGAGGGCAAGATGTCTCATCTGACCCTAGTCTGAACCATATGCAAATACAGTGTTCCCTTGCTACTTCATGGTTTGCTCTTCGTGGACTCGCTGTTTCACGGTTTTTCAAAAAATAGAAATTTAAAATATATATACCCGTTACTTATGAGGACTTCCATGTGGATTTGGTGGTTGTGGTTTGTTAACATCATCCCCTCCAATGCCAGGGAGGAAGAGAGAGTGAAAGATTAGAGGAAAGATTTATTTATTTATCATGTCAGGAGCACACCAGACAGTTGTATTGCATTTTTAACAAACAAACAAACAAAACACAAAGTTTGCAAGCTTGGTAGTTGATTAAATGTCCTTTGACCAGTATCTGGCCACTTGGAGTGCCTCTGGTGTTGCTGCAAGAAGGTCCTCCATTGTGCATGTGGCAGGGCTCAGGTTGCATTGCAGCAGGTGGTCAGTGGTTTGCTCTTCTCCACACTCGCATGTCGTGGATTCCACTTTGTAGCCCCATTTCTTAAGATTGGCTCTGCATCTCGTGGTGCCAGAGCGCAGTCTGTTCAGCACCTTCCAAGTTGCCCAGTTTTGTGTTTGTCCAGGAGGGAGTCTCTCATTTGGTATCAGCCACTGATTAAGGTTCTGGGTTTGAGCCTGCCACTTTTGGACTCTTGCTTGCTGAGGTGTTCCAGTGAGTGTCTCTGTAGATCTTAGAAAACTCTGTAGATGCTCCTTATAACCAGTAAAACCCAGCTGCAACTCATCTCTTGCATGCCTCCACCCTTAACTGCTTTCACCTGTAAACTCTTACTTATGGATTACTCTGTCCTTTAGAACTAAGGCTTGCATTAACCCCTTCCATCACCAACTTCTAGGCCTGCCACCACCAACCACCACCAACTGCGGAACATGATACATGACAACTATAGTTCTGAGCTCTCTCTGGGTTTGGTCGGCCCTAAAATCAAGATATATTGCATTCTCAGCATTCCCCTGATCTACCAAACTTACATTAACCTCTTCCATCACGAACTGCAAGGCCTGTCACCACCAACCACCATCAACTGTGGAACCTGATACATGATAATAGTTCTCTTCTTGAAAATAAGTGTTCAGTGGGGTGTCTCTGGGTTCTGTTGAATATCTTATAAATGACTTAAATGATGGAACATGTAACATCCTCAGAAAAATGGGAGATGTTAAATCAGGAGGGATAGAGTGTAACCCAGAGGTCAGAATTCAGAATTCAGGAGTGACCCCAGGGTTGGAAGCAGTGCTTATGAAAGGGACTTAGTAGACCACCAGCAAGTGTATTTGCTCCTCACAGCTTCCTTGTAATTCTCTGGATAGATTTGTAATGAACGGTTGTGTGCTTGGGCCTAGTTAGTGCAGACACCACATAAAATGTAGAATTGTGGGAAACATCAAATGAGAAGTTGCAGAATCATGCGGCTTGGCAGAAGATGCTCCTCTGCGGTAGAGAAAAAGTCACACCTGGCTGAAGAAGAATAGGGATCCTACACAAACAAGAGGCTTTCCAGGCTGAAGGTGTGCCAGACTTGTCAGCTCTGCGACATCTGCCACCCAGAGAGCCAAATCTTCTCTGGAGGGTTTTGAGCAGAGGCTGGATGGCCACCTTTAGGGGGTGGTTTGATTGTACTTCTCCTGCATGGCAAGGGGGTGGACTGGATGGCCTCTGGGGGTATCTTCCAATGCTATGATTCTATTATCAACTCAGAGAAGAGACAGGAGTATGTGGTGAGTACGAAAGGAGAATGACAGTGTGAATGGGATATTTCCCCTTCTCTGAGTAATCAATAAAGCAACTATAACATCCATGTGTGTCTACTTGAGTTCTCCATGAGTGTGGGTTCAAAATGTGCAGCATCCTCACACAGAGAGTCCCAATGGCCCTGGGGTCGCTTTCATCCTCAGCCCCCTCCATGTCCATCCCACAATTCTCCTGCAGCCCCCAAGTCCTGGAATGGATGCTTCATGCCTGTGGTTGCCACATCTACTTGGCTCAAGGAGACTGAATGGAGCCAAAACTTAGCCACAAGGAGAGGACCAGGTGGCTGTGAGCAGAGAACAGAAGTTCCAGGTGGAAGTGGAGGCAGGTGAAGCAAGACAAAGCATGGCAACCATGTTACAAGAGTTTTCTAAGTCAAATAGCATCATCTACACCAAAGAGAAGGAAAGCAAAAGGAAACAGGGATAAGGGGAGATATGCCCAGTTAAATGCGCAATTCCAGAGGTTAGCCAGAAGAGATAAGGAACTATTTTTAAATAAGCAATGCATGGAAGTGGAAGAAGACAACAGAATAGGAAGGACAAGAGACCTCTTCCAGAAAATTAGAAACATTGGCGGTAAATTTCAGGCAAAAATTGGTATGATAAGAAACAAAGATGGCAGGGACCTAACAGAAGCTGAAGAGATCAAGAGAAGGTGGTGAGACTATACAGAAGATCTGTATAGGAAGGATAATAATATCGAGGATAGTTTTGATGGTGTGGTGAGTGAATTAGAACCAGACATCCTGAGGAGTGAGGTTGAATGGGCCTTAAGAAGCATTGCTAACAACAAGGCAGCAGGAGACGACGGGATCCAGCTGAACTGTTTAAAATCTTAAAAGATGATGCTGTCAAGGTGATGCAGGCCATTTGCCAGCAAATATGGAAAACACAAGAATGGCCATCAGACTGGAAAAAATCAACTTATATCCCCATACCAAAAAAGGGAAATGCGACAGACTGCTCAAACTTCCGTACAGTGGCCCTTATTTCTCATGCCAGTAAGGTAATGCTCAAGATCCTGCAAGGAAGACTCCAGCAATACATGGAGCGAGAGTTGCCAGATGTTCAAGCTGGGTTTAGAAAAGGCAGAGGAACGAGAGACCAGATTGCCAATATCCGCTGGAGAATGAAGAAAGGCAGGGAGTTTCAGAAAAACATCTACTTCTGCTTCATTGACTATTCTAAAGCCTTTGACTGTGTGGATCATAATAAATTGTGGCAAGTTCTTGGTGGGATGGCATCCCAAGCCACCTTGTCTCTCTCCTGAGGAATCTGTACAAGGACCAAGTAGCAACAGTCAGAACTGACCACGGAACAACAGACTGGTTCAAGATTGGGAAAGGCGTACGGCAAGGCTGCATCCTCTCACCCAACCTTTTTACCTTGTATGCAGAACACATCATGCGATGTGCGGGGCTTGATGAATGCAAAGCTGGGGTGAAAATTGCTGGAAGAAACATTAACAACCTCAGATATGCAGATGATACCACTTTGATGGCCAAAAGCAAGGAAGATCTGAGGAGCCTTCTCACCAAGGTGAAAGAAGAAAGTGCAAAAGCTGGGTTGCAGTGAAACTTAAAAAAACAAGATTATGGCAACAATACTGATTGACAACTGGCAAATGGAGTGAGAAAACATGGAGGCAGGGACAGACTTTGTATTTCTAGGTGCAAAGATGACTGCAGACATAGACTGCAGCCAGGAAATCAGAAGACGCTTACTTCTTGGGAGGAGAGCAATGTCCAGTCTTGATAAAATAGTGAAGAGTAGAGACATCAGACTGGCAACAAAGATCCGCATAGTCAAAGCCATGGTATTCCCTGTAGTCACCTACGGATGTGAGAGCTGGACCTTAGGGAAGGCTGAGCGAAGGAAGATCGATGCTTTTGAACTGTGGTGTTGGAGGAAAGTGCTGCGAGTGCCTTGGACTGCGAGAAGATCCAACCAGTCCATCCTCCAGGAAATAAAGCCCGACTGCTCACTGGAGGGAAAGATACTAGAGACAAAGTTGAAGAACTTTGGCCACATCATGAGGAGACAGGAAAGCCTAGAGAAGACAATTATGCTGGGGAAAGTGGAAGGCAAAAGGAAGAGGGGCCGACCAAGGGCAAGATGGATGGATGGCATCCTTGAAGTGACTGGACTGACCTTGAGGGAGCTGGGGGTGGTAACGACCGACAGGGAGCTCTGGCGTGGGCTGGTCCATGAGGTCACGAAGAGTCGGAGACGACTGAACGAATGAACAACACAACAACACCAAAGAGAACTTCATGAGAACTTCATGGAACGAAATGAGCTGCTCAGAATGGGATGTGCATGGGATATTCAGGAAGCCACTGCTGTCTGGGGTAAGAATGATTTGGTTTCATAAATGTTGATGCTCATGGCCCCATATATCTTGAGCTCTTTAAACTTCCCAGTTAAGATTAGAACGGCAGCCTCAACACCGAGGAGAGAACGTCATGAGAACTTTGTGGGAGCGGAGCAGGCTCCTCAGCGTGGGGAGAAGCAGAAGGGGATTTGGCGCGGGATGTTCAGGAAACCACTGACATCTGGGGTGAGGTCGATCTTGGTGACCCCAGGAGGATACTTCAGGCGGAAATTCTGCAGGATGGTGGTCACAAAGAGGAAGAGCTCCATCCGGGCCAGTCCTTCACCAAGACACCTTGTCCTTCTCAATTCCCATGCAAATCACAATCACCTAATTTTCTGTCTGATATTTGACCCTCTTTCTCTAGTTCAGTGGTTCTCAACCTGAGGTCCCCAGATGTTTTTGGCCTACAACTCCCAGAAATCCCAGCCAGTTTACCAGCTGTTAGGATTTCTGGGAGTTGAAGACCATAAACATCTGGAGACCCCAGGTTGAGAACCACTGTTCTAGATCATTGGAGAATTACACTCTTTGACTACAGCTTGTTTAATCCTCCAACCATTGGCACCCCACAGAATAAAGGATTCTGGGAACTGTAGTCCAAAAAAGTAACTTTCCTAAGTTTTGTTTATTTCACCATGCCAAATCTACTTTAATTGGGCTACTTTGATTCCTTAAGTTATACCACTGGGCAGATAATGACAACTGGCTTGACCCAATGACTTTCCAACTGGTTGAACATTCCCATTATTCTTTCTGATTTATTTCATGTAGAATCATAGGATTCTCGAGTTGGAAGAGACCTGGTTGGCCATCATCCAGTCCAACCCCATTCTGCCAAGAAGCAAGACAATCACATTCAAAGCACCCCCAACAGATGGCCATCCAGTCTCTATTTAAAAGCCTCCATACCACACTTCGGGGCAGAGAGTTCCACTGCTGAACAGCTCTCACAATCAGAAAGTGGTTCCTAATGTTCAAGTGGAATCTCCTTCATTCCACCTGAACATTAGGATGTGATTTTTCCCTCCTTGTCACATTAGGATGTGATTTTTCCCTCCTTGTCACCATTATTGTGTTAGACTACTGCAACGCTCTCTACGTGGGGTTGCCTTTGAAGACAGCTCGGAAGCTCCAACTAGTCCAAGCCCGGCAGCCATGATTTTAACAGGAGCGGAGCGCAGGGAGCATACAACCCCCCTGTTGCGCCAACTCCACTGGCTACCGATCTGCTACCGGGCTCAATTCAAAGTGCTGGCGTTGGCCTTTAAAGCCCTAAACGGTTCCGGCCCAAGCTACCTATCCGACCGCATCTCTGCCTATGAACCCACCAGGACTTTGCGATCTTCCGGGGAGGCCCTGCTCTCGATCCTGCCTGCTTCTCAAGCACGGCTTGCAGGGACGAGAGATAGGGCCTTCTCGGTGGTGGCTCCTCGGCTGTGGAACGCCCTTCCTACGGACATTAGACTAGCACCATCTCTAATGGTATTCCGCAAAAAAGTGAAGACCTGGCTGTTTGAGCAGGCGTTCGAATAATTAGTGCAATGATTGGTTAATGAACACTGGAATGGAACAATGGATGACGAATCTGGAACATGTTTTTGATTATGAGACGACAGTGAATGGGTATTGTAGTAACTGTTTATTAATTGTATAATGTGTTAGGTTGTTAACTGTTTCCATACTGTAGCACTGAATTTTTGCTGTTCGTATTTGTTGTGAACCGCTGTGAGTCGCCTTCGGGCTGAGAACAGCGGTATATAAGTAAGGTAAATAAATAAACAAACAAATAAACAATACTGATATCATAGGTCACATTTTCTGTCCAGGCATAGGGCCTCTCTTCATAGGAAAACATTTATTCTGTGCAGGAAATGTCCCTCCTTCTTAGGAAAGCCATGTTCCAGTTCAAAAGACCTTATGGGCTCCCTCTGCTTCCCACAGAATAGACCCTATACTGCAAAGATTCTTATCCCAACAGTTTTGAAACCCCCTTATCATCTCTTTTTCAAGTATTTTAAATCCAAAATCCAGCCATTCTCCAGACCTGCAGAGAAAGGCACGTCAGCCCCGTTCTTCTGGAAGTTCCCTTTCTCATCCAGGAAATGTTCCGGGTCGAAACGTTGTGGGTCTTTAAACTGCTTGGAATCATTCAAGAGAGAGGTCAGCATGGGCAGGACGGTCGCACCCTGACGGAAGGAAACACACAACGGAACAATGTGAAAACCCACAAGTGGCAAAAAAAATCCCTAAAACTAACTGCAATTGGAATGAAACGTTGGCTGTTTATTTACTCTAGTGGATCAGTGCATCTACACTGTAGAATCAGTGCAGTTTGATGCCACTTTAACCACCATGGATACGTACTAGGCATGGTTAGGTCTAGTCGGAATCTTTGGAATTCGGCATAAAATCGGAAAAATCCCTTTTTGAAGCGATTTCGAAGCGATTTGGGAACCCGGAAGTATCCTTGCCATTTCAAATTTTATTTATTTATTTATTTATTTATTTATTTATTTATTTATTTATTTACAGTTCTTATATTCCGCCCTTCTCACCCCGCAGGGGACTCAGGGCGGATTACAGTCAACACATATATGGCAAACATTCAATGCCAGTTTGACAAACAACGTTTAACACACAAATACACCGAGGCTATTTAACTTTTTTCTGGCCGCCAGGGGAGCTGCTGCTTTTCATCGTCCATCAGCGACACCGATGAAGTTCTTCCGCATTCCACATTCCCCGGAGTCTTTTTTCTTTATGGCCTCATAAATTAGTTAAATTTAGCCTCCCACACAAGGTGGTACCTTATTTTCCTACTTGACAGATGCAACTGTCTTTCGGGTTGCAAAGGTCGACAACGGGCTACACAATGGCTGGACACCCACTCCAGCCCGGGCTGGCTTCGAACTCATGACCTTTTGGTCAGAGTGATCTTAATGCAGCTGACACTCAGCCAGCTGCGCCACAATCCCGGTGCCACTGTCACCATTAAAGCCACTGTCACCATCTTTTTTTCCGATTCAGGAAGTGAATTGGAAATGAAACAGCATTTGGAGGCAAGCAGATGGGGCGGGGTTTCGGCATGGCAGCCATTGCCCTTTAAAAAGGGCCACACGTGTCTCGTGGGCTCTTTGCGAGCCGGGAACGCGAAGGGAAAGGGACGAGGGCAGGCTGCTTCAGTGGGAATGGTGCCACGCCACCACTTTGCAAAGGAAGGACAGGGTTGGGAATAAATAATTTCCTTGGAGAACCACTCAAAATACCACTATGGAGCCCCCTATGTATGTTTTGGGTTACACGTTGTCGTTTTGGAAACGAGAAATCTACTACAATCTGCTTGATAATTCCCTTCCTGAAGCAGGGAATACAAGTTTTAAGAGCCTTTCCTCTCCTGGGGTTTCGCTTCTGTCATGAAAGCCGAATTGGTGCAGAACTGCACCCATTCAAAAGTGTAGTTGCACCCTTGGCCTGATCCTGATTCCAGCCCACCCCACTGTACCTTTGGGATGACAAATCCTTCCATTTCCACATCCCTCCTTGCCCTGCGGGCCAGTCCTAAGGGAATGAGATCGAGGAACCGCTGGGCTTCATGGAGGGTGGCTTCTGTGTAGGGCATCTTGGGCCTGTCCGCCATGGTGGGCATCCGCTCTCCGCCAATCACTTGGTCTATTTCCTCATGGACCTTCGCTGGAGGAGAAACAAAGGCAGGGAATAGACAATGAAAAACAGGAGGTCTGTTTTAGTGGATTGTCCACCCCTCCTTCAGATTAGGCAGTGGTAATTGACTAATCCTCTGCCATCCTGGTTTCTCCCTTTTCCCATTGTCCTCAGTTTACTCCACTTGCTGCATCCTCAACTACAAAGTGCAAAAGGAGATGGTCTGTAATTTTTCATTGGGGGAAAAGAAGGTAGAAAAGTAGAGTTGTGCCCTTCCCAGGGCCGGCAAACCTGCCACCGCCGGGTGTTCCAGCAAGAGCATCAGGATGAACCTCAGGGTGGTGCTGGTGGTCTCCATCCCAGCAACAAACAGGTCGTTAATGGTCATCGTCAGATTCTCTTTGGTAAATTCAGTCTTGGGGTTGTCCTTCTCCTGTGAAGAACAAGGGCAAAAGTTTTCTCACCAGCTACCAAGCACTGATATATTTGAATCAGAACCAATGGTCCACCTAGATGGGAGGTTCTGGGAATTTAGTCTGGAAATAGCGACACTTTAAAGTGCTCAGCATCAAACCAACATTGTAATGCTAAATTGTGGTTGGAATTGTATCTTCCTATATCTAGTTAAACTAGATCTCCCAGCACGCTTTATTTTAACTATATTGTCATGGCCAGCTCCAGTAGTGAGGACGAGGAGTTACTGGAAGGGTCAGCGGAGGAGATGAAGCTCAGCAACTCCCAGTGTCATGAATGTCAACAAGTTAAACATGAGCCAACAATGTGATGTGGCAGCAAAAAAAGCCAATGGGATTTTGGCCTGCATCAATAGGAGCCTAGTGTCTAGATCTAGGGAAGTCATGCTACCCCTCTATTCTGCTTTGGTTAGACCACACCTGGAATATTGTGTCCAATTCTGGCACCACAATTCAAGAGAGATATTGACAAGCTGGAATGTGTCCAGAGGAGGCGACTAAAATGATCAAGGGTCTGGAGAACAAGCCCTATGAGGAGCGGCTTAAGGAGCTGGGCATGTTTAGCCTGAAGAAGAGAAGGCTGAGAGGAGATATGATAGCCATGTATAAATCTGTGAGAGGAAGCCACAGGGAGGAGGGAGCAAGCTTGTTTTCTGCTTCCCTGGAGACTAGGAATGGAACAATGGCTTCAAACTACAAGAAAGGAGATTCCATCTGAACATGAGGAAGAACTTCCTGACTGTGAGAGCTGTTCAGCAGTGGAACTCTCTGCCCCGGAGTGTGGTGGAGGCTCCTTCTTTGGAAGCTTTTAAACAGAGGCTGGATGGCCATCTGTCAGGGGTGATTTGAATGCAATATTCCTGCTTCTTGGCAGGGGGTTGGACTGGATGGCCCATGAGGTCTCTTCCAACTCTTTCATTCTATGATTCTATGATTCTATGTCTCCCAGCACGCTTTATTTTAACTATATTGTCATGGCCAGCTCCAGTAGTGAGGACGAGGAGTTATTGGAAGGGTCAGCGGAGGAGCTGAAGGTCAGCAACTCCCAATGTCATGAATGACTTTTCAATAACTTTGAAGCATGGGTTCTTTTTATTGCAATTTCCAGTGTGAGAGGGTATATCAGATTACAGAAAAACATTTAGACAAAGAATGACATTGGACATACAGACATGCAGATTCTATGCAACTACATTGGATTTACAATTACATTGGTTAACAAACAAACAAAGGGGAATTACATTTTCACTCAACATTCACACATGTACACACATTCATCCACATGCATCCAAATATTACCATATCCTTTTCTCCCTCCTTGGAGAAGCACCTCTTAGGCCAGACCCTGCTTTCCTGCAGCCTGCCAAAGCATAGTTCCATAACTTCCATAACGCCAAAACTTCAAAACGCTGAGATGCCAAAACTTCTTTCCCTAAGAACAATGCCAAGGACCAGATCTCTGTTTTCCATACAACAGAACCTGACTCCCTGCACAAAATCCAAGACTCCAAAAGCGCACTTCTTCCTCTTCCCTTGAGAAAGAAGTCCCAAAGCGTCCAGAATCATGCTTTCCCATAGCATATCTGACACTCTCAGAATACACCACCTCTCTCCTTCCTATGGATCAACCATATGGGTGAACCAGACTCCTCAGGTCTGCCACAATTTGAACATTATTAGACTGAGTCTTTTATAGGAATATTCTGCTGATTTCATCCCAAAGTTGTAAATTAATAATAGACATCTTCCATCCTGGATCCATCTCAGTTTCCTGCCTAGATGTTGATCTTCTTGATTGGTGTTGACAAACACAAGGATTCTAGCTTATTTGCCTAATATTTGTTGAAACCTAAGTTGCTGATAATGGGGTTGTGGTCACAACAAATGCAAGCCAAGACCACTGATGTTGCATTCCAAGAAACTCAGGAGGGCTGCATGATTTCCACCCCTGTCTTAAATCTTTGATCCAACACAGGGACTAAATCTGCAGTCTAACAATGGAAAGCTAAAACACCCGTGGCATTCTTTCTCAAAATCCCAGATGTTCTCAATTTCCCTCCAAAAGGAAGGAGCCCTCTCTTGTTTAGGCTCACCTGCTCCATTTTGAGGAGGAAGGCCTCTATGAAGTCCCGAGGAACATCCGTGGCATCAAAGGTTTTGACGTGTTCCTCAATCTTCTGGTTGATGAAGCCCTGGATGCTGAAGGCCTCTTCCAATATTCTTAGATGAAGACCAGGGAAGTAGTCAATGATCCAGTGGAACATGTTATAGAGCTGAAAGGGAAAGAGAAGGAGGATGAGGGTGGTGGGCACCAAAAGACGGGCTAGCAAACACATCACTAATTGGAATCCAAATTAAACCTGCTCTCAGATGGTAATGTCACAAAGCCATTCATGGGCCATTGTCAACAAACTTATTTCAAATGGATTTAATGACTTTCTGGTTATGTGTACAGGACGTAAATTAATTTCATGATTAGACTTGTGTCCTATATCCAAGATCTTTCATGGTGATGATGATGAAGCATAAAGTACATACTGTATATGTAAATAATGGTATTCCAAAATTTTGGAAAACATCTGAAATACCAAACACAAATGGTCGCAAGCATTTTGGACAAGGGAGACTCAACCGTGGTCATTTGAAGCTTGGGAATATTACATAGTTGTATCACAAATCTCAGAATCCTTTGAACACCACAGATATTTTGACTGGGTGCTTCTGTAAGCTATTGTCTTTTCTGACTGGCAGATTCTTCTCTCAGATCATAGCTGCCTTTTGTCATGGTTGTCCTCCTCCTCCTTCTCCTCCTCCTCTTCCTCTTCCTCCTTCTCCTTCTCCTCCTCCTCTTCCTCCTCCTCTTCCTCTTCCTCCTCCTTCTCTTCCTCCTCCTCCTCCTCCTCTCTCCTCCTCCTCTTCCTCCTCCTCCTCCTTCTCCTCCTTCCTCCTCCTCCTCTTCCCCTCCTCCTCCTCCTCCTCCTCCTCCTCCTCCTCCTCCTCCTCCTCTCTCCTCCTCCTCCTCCTCCTCCTCCTCCTCCTCCTCCTCCTCCTCCTCCTCCTCCTCCTCCTCCTCCTCCTCCTCCTCCTCCTCCTCACCTGTCCTACTAAGCTGCTTTCCATTTTGAAGCCATAGGTGAGGATTTTGATGATTCGGAGGTACTCCTTATCCTGGTAATCAAACCGGTCACCCAAGAGGATGTAGCTGATCACATTCCCAGTGGCGCAGTTGAAAATGCTTGATGAGCTCAAGGGTTGACCTGTATTGGGAAGCAACAGAGTTAGTGGGGTAGCAGAAACACATCTCAATCCAGTGTTACCAATGCACAACCCAAAGCACCCCATCCTGATCCTTCTATGGTTGCTGGTGGCTTCCAGGATAGAAACGCCTGAATCCACTCTGGGTTTAGTCCAGATTTGAAAGCCCGACATGGTTCTGAACCTGAACCAAAGAAAGGATGCCAAGATGGTCCATGTTCTGGAAACCATGTATTGTGAGACATGACTAAGGGAGCAGAGTTTGTTCAAGCTGGAAAAACGAAGGGATCTGAAGGGAGCTTTTAAACAGAGGCTGGATGGCCATCTGTCAGGGGTGATTTGAATGCAATATTCCTGCTTCTTGGCAGAATGGGGTTGGACTGGATGGCCCAGGAGGTCTCTTCCAACTCTTTGATTCTAGGATTCTATGATGTCATGGAGAAGATGGAGCCATCTTGTTTTCTGCTCCTCCAAATATTAGAACAAGAACCAATGAGTTCAAATGGCAAGAAAGAAGACTTTATTTATTTATTTGTGAAGTTTGTACTCCGCCTTTCCCCAATCAAGGGCCCAAGGTGGCTTACAGCCAATAAAAACATACAGTATACAAATTAAGAGCAAGTTAAAACCATAAATATTAGTAAGTGCTGTTAATGCTTATTAAAACTCCAACAAGATAGATAAAACCACCCTAATAAAACCTAACGGAATCAGATGGTCTTCTTAACCTTTACCAAAACATTGGGAAGAACTGCCTGAGAATTAAAGCTATCTGGTGGTGGAACAGAATTTGTGAATGTTTTTAAATGGAAGTTGGATGGGCATCTTTCAAGGATGCTTTATTTGGGTATTCCTTCATGGGTGGTGGAATGCACAGCAATACCCCACTTTGCTCACAATAATTATCAAATGTTGTTTCCAAACTATAACTGGAGACTTCACACCCTCAGTAAACCAAGGACATTTACAAAGACTGGGATAAGATTTCTTCAAGAAGCAATTACAAAAGCAAAGTATGTGCACGCACCCTTGGTCTCCCTGAGCGCCTTCACCAAGTGCTGGGCCTCCTCCTGGATCCGTTCCTCAATGCTTTTCTTCCCCATCCCAAAGTTCCTCAAGGTCATGAGGGAGAAACGGCGGATCTGGACCCAGCGCTCACCATTGGACATTAACACACCTGAAGGAGGCAACCAGAGAAGCCGAATGTCAACTGTATCCATCACTTGAACAAAGCACAACAAAACCATTGAGAATCTGTGTATTTCCACTTGGCGAGGAGGCAAGATTGGACTCACATCTCCTCCGCAGTGCGTGAACTGGGAAGCAGAAATGGTGACCATGGCTTTGTTCAAGGGGAACACTTATAGCCCCAAAGCATAGTGAATGTCTTGTGCACAGAAGGCTCCCCAGAGGAGATTTGATGATTACACCAAGGCTACTCACTAGATGTTAGCAGAGATTTAAAACCAGAACCCCAAAGTCATGTGGGAGGGAAATCTGTGGTCCTCCTGATCAACTTCTGATGGTCCCAGGCTATTGACTCTCTGGACTGGGGCTGATGGGAGCTGGAGTAGTGCACCATCTTGAGGGACACATGAAGTGGAGCACTCAAACTCTAGAGAAGGGACGGGCAATTGCACCAATCACAAACACCTCTCTACTTTTCTGCAATCCTTTGAAATAGTGAGAGAAAGTGACACCATATTTGGGAACATTATGGGGTTCAAAAAGCTATAAACCAATCTCCTTGTTGTGCCACCTCTACAAAGTTCTGGAGATACTTATTTTGCATAGAATTACGGGAAAAAATAGATCCATGTCTGATTCCACAGCAAGTTGGCTTCAGGAAAGGCAAAAGCTGCACATCGCAAGTGTTGAACCTGACTCAGCACATAGAAGATGGCTTTGAAAGGCAGCAGATCACAGGAGCTGTCTTCATAGACCTGTCAGCAGCCTATGATACTGTGAACCACCGCCTCCTCCTGAGAAAAATGTACAATATCACAAAGGACTACCACCTCACCCGCCTCATAGGAAACCTGCTACAAAACAGGAGCTTTTTTGTTGAGTTCCAGGGCCAGAGAAGCAGATGGCGGAAACAGAAGAACGGCCTGCCTCAGGGGAGCGTGCTTGCTCCATCCATGTTCAACGTCTACACAAATGAACGGGGAGGCCTTGCTCTCGACCCCGCCTCTATCACAAGTGAGGCTGGCGGGGACGAGGAGCAGGGCCTTCTAGGTGGTGGCCCCTCACCTGTGGACCTCACTCCCCGGGGAGATCAGATCAGCGACTTCCCTTTTCTCATTTAGAAAAAAATTGAAGACCTGGATGTGGGACCAGGCTTTTGGACATTCTGGCAATTAAAGAAAAGACCTTGACGATGGGCAGGAATTGACGGAACGGAATGGATTTATGGAACTCTGAACACTGTGCATGAGATTGTTTACTATTGTGTTATTGTGTTATGTACTGATGTTTTTAACCTGTTAACTGTTTAATTGCTTTTATTTTTGTATGTATATTTGACATAGGCATCGAATTGTGCCTTCTTTGTAAGCCGCCCTGAGTCCCCCCCTGGGGTGAGAAGGGCGGGGTAGAAGTAACTGAAATAAATAAATAAATAAATAAATAAATCTACACAAATGACCAGCCACTGCCAGAAGGGACAGAGAGCTTCATCTATGCTGATGATCGTGCCATCACTGCTCAAGCAGGGAGCTTTGAGATGGTTGAACAGAAGCTCTCCGAAGCTCTAGGTGCCCTTACCGCCTACTACAGGGAAAACCAGCTGATCCCTAACCCATCTAAAACACAGACATGTGCCTTTCACCTTAAGAACAGACAAGCATCCCGAGCTCTGAGGATTACCTGGGAAGGAATCCCACTGGAGCATTGCAGCGCACCCAAATACCTGGGAGTCACTCTGGACCGTGCTCTGACCTACAAGAAGCACTGCCCGAACATCAAGCAAAAAGTGGGTGCTAGAAACAATATCATGGGGTTCTGGGAGCTTGTGGAGGAAATGATGTTTTTGCATGTTTGTAGACACTGGAGGGGCTCTTTGTAGGTTTTTTGGGGGTGCAATGCAAGAAGCTGCTTAAAATGTTTCAAATTTGAGGGGGGACAGGACAGCCAAATTTCTCCCCAGCACCATGGGCTTCCTCATATTGCCTCTCCCTTCTCCTGGCTACTGGTGTCTTGCTTGGTTCAAGGACCTTACCAAGTCCTCGGCTGGCCTTTTCTGCCGATGGCAAACTTCCCCGGTTGAGGAACTCATCTCCCTTTTCCACAAGAACTTTCTTCACCAAGTCAGACCCATAGACGACCACCATCTGATCTGAGCCGAAAAACACTGTGAAGATGGGACCGTACGTTGCGCTCAGCTGCAAAGAAACAATCATATGTGAAGAAGAAAACAATTCCTCAGGAATCCTAAAGCGATTTAGGCATCAGTCTTGGACAGCAGTCTTGGACAGCAGTGACCAATTTAAGGTGGAATCAGGTGTCAAACAGCGATGTGTTATTGCTTCTTTAAAATTAAATTTTTAAAAGATCTAGGCTCATATGGAAGGACTTGGGACAAGAACTGGGTCCTTGCTACTCTCCAGAAGACCCCCCTTAGGAATGCCCATTGCTTCACGTCACTTAACCAAAACAACATGGGCAAATCTGATAGATCGCATCCCATGTGTTTTCCCTCACTTTCTCCCATTTCCAGGTGCATCAGGAGCTCAGAAGATGATTTATCTCTGTCCCCTGACCACCACACCCCCATTACCTACACTTCTACTACATTTCAGGACAAAGTGCAATGAATGGCAACAGGAAGTAGTTTTATGTCATGTAAAGGACTTCATGACCATTTGTTCCTGAAATGCCTTGGAAGTATGTGGAAACAAGGGTAGACTTCCATCTAATGAGGTCCTAAGTCTTGGGGTCTTCACCCAAAGCCACAACAATCACAAAAAAATTGAAATCTAATTTCAATTTTACTCCATGAGACGAGTTCAAAATACCAATGGCTAGAATTACAAATGAACACGGCCAACTATGAAAGGGCCGGACAAGGGCTAGTGCAATAGAGTATCCTTGGGCCGGTGAAGTGGATAAAGTGCAGAGCAGGGTCCTAGGTGGTGGCCAAGGGAAGGGCCTGGGGACTTCACTTCACTTCACTTCACTTTATTTCTTAATTAGTCGCTCTCCACCAAGGTGCTCTGGGCGACTTACAATTTAAAATAGTATTTCCACAATATAAAAACATTCAACATAAAAACATTCAATTAATCATTCTCAAAAACCTGCTGGAACAACAAGGTTTTCAGGTCTCTACAGAAGGAGGACAGTGTAGGGCAGGGGTCGGGAACCTTTGGCCCTCCAGCTGTGGGGGACTTCAACTCCCACAATTCCTTGAGGCTCGGCATTCGCCCCAAAGGCTTACCTTGGCCCAACGAGGTTTGTTTGGCTCTTTTTCATGGAGGACGGGCAGCAAAGGGGGAGAGACGAGCGTAACGTAGCTGTGCAGATGGCGAGGAAGGATGCGGAGCCCACAGACTGGCCTCGGAGGGAGAGAGCGGGCGGAAACCCCTGCGGGCAACGCGCCTCCTCGCCGCTTAAACAGCGCAGAGCCCTTTCCCTCCAGCCTTCGCCTTCCCTTTTCCCCGACAAGCTCTGCACGACGTCACTCAGCCGGCGTCATTGCTAGGGAGGGGGTCCATGCGGGGCGGGTGCTAAGGGCCGAAGCGGCGAGGAAGCGCGTTGCCCGCAGGGGTTTCCGCCCGCTCTCTCCCTCCGAGGCCAGTCTGTGGGCTCCGCATCCTTCCTCGCCATCTGCACAGCTACGTTACGCTCGTCTCTCCCCCTTTGCTGCCCGTCCTCCATGAAAAAGAGCCAAACAAACCTCGTTGGGCCAAGGTAAGCCTTTGGGGCGAATGCCGAGCCTCAAGGAATTGTGGGAGTTGAAGTCCACCACAGCTGGAGGGCCAAAGGTTCCTGACCCCTGGTGTAGGGGATTGCCTAATTCCTCTGGGGAGGGTGCTCCTTTGGGAGGGGGGGCACCACCGAGAAGGCCCTCTCTCTCATCACTACCAAGCATGCTTGTGATGGTGGGAGTGAGAGGAGGGCCTCCCTGGCAGATCTTAGAGTCCGCGCCGGTTCATAGTGGGAGATGCAATCACAAAGATAGGCGGGACCCAAACCGTTTAGGGCTTTGTAGTAGGCTTGGTTGATCAAGAAAAAAAATGGTTCTAAACTCGTTTCGTATATAGGGGGTGCTGGCGTTTCGATTTTAAAATTATTTCTCAAATTTTCTTGAAAAAAAGATTGGAAATAGCAAAAATCTGAATAGCTTCGTTTACTTCGTTAATGGAAGGTGCCCTCCCCCCTGTTAGTTTAAAATCTCGCAGTTTCCCTGGCCTCCCTGGCGACAAGCGGTGATGCGGTTTCCCCCAGTGGCCATCAGGAAGAGTTGGGTGTAGCCACACCCACCTCATTCCCCTGCCACCCATCGGCGTTCCTAGTTGCTCAGGGAAGGGAAACTGCAAGATTAGTTTTAAACCTCTCAGCTTCATTTCCCTGGCAAGCTGTCATGCAGAAGGAAGAGGTGGGCGTGGCCAAGCACAGCTCTCCTTGGAGGTCGCTGTGGGCGTGGCCTTCAGGAACAGCTGTTCTTACCCACGCCCACCTTCTTTCACTTTGCATCGACGGCTTTGTGAGGTGGGCTTTGCGAGGTGGGCTTTGCGAGGTGGGCTTTGCGAGGTGGGCGTGGCTACGGCCAGCTCTTCCGCATCGCTGCTTTTCGCCAGGGAAAACAGAAAATCCAGACCATAACTGAGAAGCAACGGGAATATTTAAACAAAGAGATAAGTGACGAAGAGATAGAAAATGCAATCAAAAAACTAGATACGAATAAGGCGCCAGGCCCTGACGGCCTAACTGCAGCATCGCCGCTTGTCGCCAGGGAGGTAGCCACGCCCACCTCGCAAAGCCGCCGATGCAAAGAGGAAGTAGGTGGGCGTGGGTAAGAACAGCTGTTCCTGAAGGCCACGCCCCCAGCATTTACGATTCACTGGCGGAAGTCGTAAGGAAGATGGCGGACGCGGCTTCGATATGGCAAAAACACTTCCGGGTTGCCAAAACGCGTCGATATAGCTTCAAAAGGTAATTTATTTACGATTTCATTATGACTTAAGAAACTTACAACTTGGATCAACCAACCCTACTTTGTAGATCATAACCTGCACCTTGAATTGGGAATGGCAACCTATTGGCAGCTAATGGAGCTGTTTTAGTAGGGGTGTTGTACGCTCCCTATATTTAGCTCCAGTTAGAAGCCTGGCTACTGCCCGTTGTACCAGTTGGAGTTTCCAAGCCATCTTCAAAGGCAGCCCCACATAGAGTGCATTGCAATAATCCAATCCGGATGTAATGAAGGTGTAGACCACTGTGACCATGTTTGACTTCTCAAGGTACTGGCCACTGCTGACACCTGAGCATCCAGTGTCAGCCATGAATCCTGGAGGACCCCCAAGCTACGGACCTGTGTCCTCAGGGGGAGTGGACCCCCGATGAGCACAGGTTGCCACCCGATACCCCAATTGGTCCCACGACTGACCAGGAGAACCTCTGTATTGTCTGGATTAAGCTTCAGCTTGTTAGCCCTTCAGTTTTGACTTTTGCTGAGGTCTCGTTCCTTACCTCCTTCAGATGTTTTGAAATGTTGAACCCCTTCAGCTGGAGGAGGTTTCCAATAATAGGAAGAGGGGTTGGCCCAGGTGGCCAGTTCTTCCTCCTGGCCTCCACTTTCCTCCAGGCCACCAGAAGGACCAGGCAGACCACCAAGAAGATGGTTGTGGTCCCCAGAAGATCCATAACCCCACAGCCTCTTTCTCTTTTCTTTGTGGCAGAAAGACTGAAGCCCGGCCTCTTTCCCTCTCCAGATGCAGAAGGACTGAAATCCAGAGACCGCTTCCAAACTCCAAACTCCAAACGCAAAGGAGAGGCGAGATTAGTTCAGTCAGTGGCAGCAATTCATGGCTGTTCCTGAACTTTGGAACCGTCTCTATGTTTATGTCCTTCCTCTCTTTGTTTGATTCAGATCTCAGCTTTCTCCTGGGATGAGAGCCAACTTGGCTCAGGTCAAGTTAAGGACAATGTGCACTAAATAAAAATCACAATCGGTCTTCACATTTGTTGGTGGGAGGGAACAGAACCCGCACAAAATTGGGAAAATATCAAATGAAAAGCTCTTTTTAAAAAACCGGGCATCCTTCTAGGAATGTCTAGGTCTCTGCCACAAATCTGTGGCCTATTTCCTGCTCTGATAAACTTGGCAAAGGCTCTCTCAGAAAGCCAGGGAGTTAGCAAGTATTATAGAATCATAGAATCCTAGAGTTGGAAGAGACCTCGTGGGCCATCCAGTCCAACCCCATTCTGCCAAGAAGCAGGAATATTGCATTCAAATCACCCCTGACAGATGGCCATCCAGCCTCTGTTTAAAAGCTTCCAAAGAAGGAGCCTCCACCACACTCCGGGGCAGAGAGTTCCACTGCTGAATGGCTCTCACAATCAGGAAGTTCTTCCTCATGTTCAGATGGAATCTCCTTTCTTGTAGTTTGAAGCCATTGTTCCGCATCCTAGTCTCCATGGAAGCAGAAAACAAGCTTGCTCCCTCCTCCCTGTGGCTTCCTCTCACATATTTATACATGGCTATCATATCTCCTCTCCTTCTCTTCTTCAGGCTAAACATGCCCAGCTCCTTAAGCCGCTCCTCATAGGGCTTGTTCTCCAGACCCTTGATCATTTAGTCCCCTCCACTGGACACATTCCAGCTTGTCAATATCTCTCTTGAATTGTGGTGCCCAGAATTGGACACAATATTCCAGGTGGTGGTCTAACCAAAGCGGAATAGAGCATGGGGAGCATGACTTCCCTAGATCTAGACACTAGACTCCTCTTGATGCAGGCCAAAATCCCATTGGCTTTTTTTGCCGCCACATCACATTGTTGGCTCATGTTTAACTTGTTGTCCACGAGGACTCCAAGATCTTTTTCACACGTACTGCTCTCGAGCCAGGCATCGTCCCCCATTTTGTATCTTTGCATTTCGTTTTTCCTGCCAAAGTGGAGTATCTTGCATTTGTCACTGTTGAACTTCATTTTGTTAGTTTTGGCCATTCATCTCTCTAATCTGTCAAGATCGTTTTGAATCCTGCTCCTGTCCTCTGGAGTCTTGGCTCTCCCTCCCAATTTGGTGTCGTCTGCAAACTTGATGATCCTGCCTTCTAGCCCTTCATCTAAGTCATTAATAAAGATGTTGAACAGGACCGGGCCCAGGACGGAACCCTGCGGCACTCCACTCCACAAATATTAAAACATGTTCACCGTGCTAGGAATCATTCTGTACCATGTTGATACCATTTTAACCTGGGATTAATGGAGTATTCTGTAAATTATGCGATCATGTACAACTCATTGCAATAACCAACATATTCTTGTATTTGCATTGTGTCATTCTTCACAATGAACCTTGGCTGAACCTTCGCAATGGTGGATTGGTTGGGATTTGTTGCCCTTTGCAGGAGTGGCTTGCAGCAATTCTGAGCATTCAGGCACTGGACAGCTGCCCCCCTTTGAAATGGTAGATTGGGTGAAACATTGGATTTGTGAATCTGAGAAGAGTTACTATCTCTCTATCTATATACACCATGCATGGGGAAACTTTCTAATGTGGGGGGCGCATGCTAGCACTCCCTGATAAGAGGACTGCCTTTCCAGCAAAGGAAGGAAGGAAGGAAGGAAGGAAGGAAGGAAGGAAGAAGGAGAGAAGGAAGGAAGGAAGGGCAAAAGGATGGAAGGAGAAAGAGGGAGAGAGAGAAGGAAGGGAGAAAAGAGGAAAGGAAGGAAAGACAAAAGGGAAGGAAGGAAGGATAAAGGAAAGAGGGAAGGAAAGACAAAAGGGAGGAAGGAGGAGAGAAAGGGAGGAAGGAGGAGGAAGGAAAAAGGGGAAGGAAAGGAAGGAGAAAAGGAGGAAGGGAAGGAAGGAGGAAGGAAAGGAAGGAAAGGGATGAGAAGGAGGAGAGAGAAGGAGGGAGGAAAGAGGAAGGAAGGATGAAAGGATGGAAGGCAATGATGGAAGGAAAAAGGATGAAAGGGTGGAAAGGAAGGAGGAAGGAAAATGGAAGGAACAGAGGAAGAGAAGGATGGAAGGGAGGGAAGGAGGAAGGGAAGAGAAGGGAGGAAGGACAAAAGGGAGGAAGGGAAGTATAGAAGGAGAAAGAGGGAGGTAAGGCAGGGAGGAAGAGTGACAAGGAGGAAGGAAAGAGGGAAGGAAGGAAAGACAAAAGGAAAGGAAAAACGAAAGAGTGGGAGGGAGAAAGAGGGAGGGAAAGAAGGGAGGGGGAGAAAGAGAAGGAAGGAAAGACAAAAGAGAGGGAAGGAGAAAGGGAAGGGAAGGAAGGGTGGAAGGGAGAGAGAAAAGGGAGGTAAGAAAGGGAGGAAGGAGGAAGGAAAGAGAGAAGGAAGGAAGGATGGATGGAAGGATGGATGGAAGGAAGGAAGGAAGGAAGTGGAGTGCCGCAGAAGTGGAGTGCTTGACAGATTAGAGAGATGGGCCAAAACTAACAAAATGAAGTTCAACAGTGACAAATGCAAGATGCTCCACTTTGGCAGAAAAAATGAAATGCAAAGATACAGAATGGGGGACATGCCTGGCTCGAGAGCAGTACGTGTGAAAAAGATCTTGGAGTCCTCGTGGACAACAAGTTAAACATGAGCCAGGAATGTGATGTGCGGCAAAAAAAGCCAATGGGATTTTGGCCTGCATCAAGAGGAGCCTAGTGTCTAGATCTAGGGAAGTAATGCCCCCTCTATTCTGCTTTGGTTAGACCACATCTGGAATATTGTGTCCAATTCTGGGCACCACAATTCAAGAGAGATATTGACAAGCTGGAATGTGTCCAGAGGAGGGCGACTAAAATGATCAAGGGTCTGGAGAACAAGCCCTATGAGGAGCGGCTTAAGGAGCTGGGCATGTTTAGCCTGAAGAAGAGAAGGCTGAGAGGAGATATGATAGCCATGTATAAATATGGGAGAGGAAGTCGTAGGGAGGAGGGAGCAAGCTTGTTTTCTGCTTCCTTGGAGACTAGGACGCGGAACAATGGCTTCAAACTACAAGAGAGGAGATTCTATCTGACCATTAGGAAGAACTTCCTGACTGTGAGAGCCGTTCAGCAGTGGAACTCTCTGCCTTGGAGTGTGGTGGAGGCTCCTTCTTTGGAAGCTTTTAAACAGAGGCTGGATGTCCATCTGTCAGGGGTGATTTGAATGCAATATTCCTGCTTCTTGGCAGAATTGGGTTGGACTGGATGGCCCATGAGGTCTCTTCCAACTCTTTGATTCTTTGATTCTATGATTCTAAGGGATGGTGTGATAGAGGAGGGCCCAAGAAAAGAGCCTAAGGGGCCGCATCTGGCCCTTGGGCCTGGGTTTGCCCATACCCAATATACACACATATATCAGGTATGGGCAAACCTATTGGTAGAGTTTGAGGGAATCGACCTTGGATGCTGTGAGTTATCATTCACCCACATCCAGAAGGCACTGTGAACCTGAACGTGGATGGATTTGGACCACACATGGCACACATACCCAACATGGCCAACTTTGAGTCCTTGCAGCATTTGGAGGGAATTGACCCAGGACAATGGGTGTTGTAGTTCACCCACATCATTCTACTTTTTCTAATGTGACCATTTACAGAGCCCCAAAATTAATAATGACTAATTGTAATATTTATCATTACAAATGGCTGAACCCAGGCATTGCTTGGTACCTAAGCTAGCATGTAATAAAATTCAATGTTTTTATGTGTGTACGTGTGTATATATTATTTCCAAGATGGCCCCTACTTCCGGAGTGCACTGTAACTCCAGCCAACAATGGATCCGGACCAAACTTGGCACCTAGACTCTTCATAATCTTCAGAAAGTGCTGGAGGGGTTGGGGAGAAGTTTCTCTTGGCCACACGTTGTACATTAACATCCCCTCACTCTACCCCATGCTCTTTCCCCCTCCAACGCCATTCCTGGCTCTTGTCCATCCTGTTCATTCCCAGTGAAGCCAATATTTCCCAGTTCCCACTATTTTTGATTTTTGGGTTGGTGGTCTTTATTTAATCATTCCATTGACACTCCAACTTTCACATAAGATGGGTGTCAAGTAGGCTCATGTCAAATGAAAAAAAAAGTACATTTTTAAAAAAAGCAGTTCAATTAAAAGCACCAAATTACAACACTGAAAAGCATATTAAAACATAAGATAATAGCATAATATTCCCAGTTCAAAGGATCTTTCTGCCAGAATAAACAAAACACCAAATCTACCCATAGTAAGCCAGAAGTCATTTGTGTCCCAGGGTTGCAATTCCACTTTAATTTCCTTCTTGAAGAAAGCAGCAAGGATGTTGTTCTATGGACCAGCACGAACCCTAAGATCTTCCAAGGAGACCCTCCTCAGCGTGGGGAGAAGCAGAAGGGGACTTGGCGCGGGATGTTCAGGAAGCCACTGACATCTGGAGTGAAGTCCATCTTGGTGACCCCAGGAGGGAACTTCAGGCAGAAATTCTGCAGGATGGTGGTGAAGAAGAGGAAGAGCTCCATCCGGGCCAGCCCTTCACCAAGACAGTTCCTTTTGCCTGTAAGAGAAGGAAACAGGAGACATAGCAAAAGTCACTCATAACGTGTCCATGTGCAGAATATATTTCTAGATCAGTGGTTCTCAACCTTCCTAATGCCACGACCCCTTTATACAGTGCCTCATGTTGTGGTGACCCCCAACTATGAAATTATTATCATTGCTACTTCCTAATGTTAATTGTGTTACTGTTATGAATCATAATGTAAATATCTGAAATGCAGGATGTATTTTCATGCACTGGACCAAATTTGGCACAAATACCCAATAACAGCACTCCATGTAGTCATGCCGGCCACATGACCTTGGAGGTGTCTATGGACAACACCGACTCTTTGGCCTAGAAACTGAGCACCAATCCCTAGAATTGGACACTACTGGACTTAATGTCAGGGGAAAACTTTTACCTTACCTTACCCAATATGCCAAAATTTGAATGCTGGTGTGGTTGGAG